TAACATTTTGGATTTCGGTTTGAGAGTGCTGGGTTCGATTCCTAGCAAACCCTCAAATCATATTGGTTTGGACTGTCAAAGTGTACCTCGTACATTTATATTATTGTTGGAAAGTGCTATAAGTGTAGTCAATAAAAAAAAAATCAATTTAAGATCTAATACCGTAAGTGTTATTTTTTTCATTTATTTAAATGCATTGGAATAAATTTGTAAAACACATTTTTACCTTTTAATGGTCTTAGAGGAAATAAAACCCTTGCAGACTTATAAATAAGGCACTTCACAACTTTTGAGTATCCCAAAACTTACAGCAAACTTCCAACTTCGACACAACAACTGCATTAGGTACTTGGGAGTCAAACTTAGCATTTATAGTCAACCAGTAGTTTGTGAAAAAAGGCTTACTTTTTATTTAGAAAATTACTCAAAAACAGTAATTATTATGCATATCATCTGTTTCTGTGTGTGTACTTATTACAATACAGGGTTTTTTCTGTGGCTGCGACATCCCTTTTTTACCTGTACTACTAAACCGATTTTCACAATTGAGGTGTCATTTTAAAGGTGTATTATCTAGTGCAGGGACGAATGGTAAGATTGGCAAGTTTAGGGCTTTTCCCCCTAAACCCAGGGCTACAGATATAACCTTTGATTTATTTTCAGTGGTTGTTTTCAAAGAAAACACAGTGTTTCCTACCAACTTGTTTTATAACAATTTTTTAATGTGTGGAGTAATGTAACAGCTGATTACTTCAGATGAATTTTTCAATTCAAATGACAAACATGAGACAAAACTGTTGATGAAAAAGAATTTTGAATAGACTTTTATCGATAGTTGTAGCCTGACTATTAGGTAAATGACTCTTTGGTATGGGTCTTCAATCTAATTTTGTTTAACATTACAAATTATTAGTTTTATTCATCTTAACTACTCAACACACACATGTCTGTGGTCTTTAACAAACATTCATATATTTTATTTTCATATTAAAGAGCACAATATACCCTCTTGTAATATCATACAGTACTATATTTGATTTGTTGAAACCAACAAATTTTTTAACCTCCAGGGAGCAATTAATTACAAAAAGAAAACTTGACAAAAATAATCATCAGATATAGGTTAGACAAAAATTGTTTTTGGGCTGTTATAGAAATTACAGTGTCACAGGAAGCCGATGTGTCACTTTCTTCATTTCCTCGATGTACACTGTTTAATTGAACCTTTACGGGAATTACTTATTTTGGAATCACTAAACCAGAAGGTCAATTACAAGAGTAATACAGGATCCTCATACACAAATTATGTACTTTGTGAAGTATTTTATCCAAAATAGACCTTTTCATCCCAGTAACACAGGATGTATGAAGAAAAGTTGTTCCTACATTATTGAATGTTCTTTGGATTCCTTTGACAAATCGACTGATATCATGTGTGGGTGATAAGATTAGGAAGAACACATAGTGATCAAATATTTATGATTCACCAAAGAACATGGAGAGCCTAATAAAAAATGTTTTAATTGTATGTTGTTAATAAACTATGTAGGCTGTGTACAGACGATGTGACGTTACAGGGCCGGACTTACCTATGGGCGAAGGGGGCGAACGCCCGGGGCCCCCTTTGTACATTAGTTTTTATCATTAACTTCGAAAATTGATCAGACACTTAACAAATGGCCTTCTTTTGTAACAGCTTTATTTTTATTTTCGCTATCCTATGTTTAAGGTTATTGTTAGGTGCATTTTAAGGCATTACTAGGAATGAGATTCTTGACCCTAAGGGACTTTTTCTCAGAGTTGCACTGGGCCCCACGCTTAGGCCTGGTTTACATGAGCTGAGCGACGGACAAGTTTCAGTTTCAATGAAGCCGCTCGCCCGAACGTACGGCCGCGGCGAATGGGTTGAAGGGGGTCCCGTAAACGTAACTTGTAAAATTGTATTGTGTTAAATGGAGATTCACTGGAGTTCAAATACTTTTAAAAATAAAAACATTGCTCCGTTTATGTTTTATTAAATGTTATTCTTTTCTTTTACCTCTAAGTATATACCAATCATGATTTTAAGGGGTAGAAGTATATTATCCGTTCAATTGAAAGGTTTTGTAAAATAGTAATTAATTAAGTTATGCGTCCAAATTTTGATCTCCAATTACGTCTTTGGAGTCAAAATCATATACTGTAGCAACAGTAAGATTTTTAAAATCTATATAGACACTTTAAAACAACTAGAGTCGTCTGATGTTAACAAAAAATTACATTTATTGGGATTGGGCGAGCGTTGTCGTATGAAATCGTAAATAAGCGAATAAGCAGAAGCAGCTGCAACAATAAATGATGATAAGCTGATAAGGGATCCTGTCTAGTCCTGACTCTCACGCACGCGCATACACACACATAAAATGCCTTATCGCCTATCCAAAACAATTTAAATCACTTTACTCCCATAGTTTGTCCTTTGAGACTAGTGGTCACGTCAAGTTGGTTGAAATTGTCTTACTTTTGTGTTATTTTATTGTAATTCTGCAAACTAACAGTACAAAAACAAAGCTGAAGTGAGTAATGTTGTATTCAATGCTATGTTTGTGTTGTATTAATCGATATTGGATCCATTTAAACATCTTTCAGTTACTCATATAAATACTTAGCTTGTGAGTGTTTATTAGACATTGCAAGATTTTGCTCCTCAATAAAAAAACTCAAACTTGAAAGTCCCCAATGGTACTTTTCATGCTAGGACTTTAACATATTATAAAAACGAGAATGCCATAGGTACCAAAACCAGTATGAAAATAAAATAATCACACCTATATTGTAGTAATATTGAAAAACCATACAAATCGACGGCAATAATCGATAATTTAAATACGTAATAAACAAAAATATATCAATACTTCTTATCCAAATATATTATGGTAGCCTACCATGATACCATATCAAATATGCCGTCAATACATTTTTATTTTTGTGTATAAAATTAAAATATGCTGTATATAAAAATATGTTAAAATAGTTATATTTTAAGAAATTTTTTTTATATAGAACTTATTGCTTATTTGGCCTTAAATTGCTCTATTTGAAGCCTAAATTTAGAAAATTTTCCCGGGGGAGGACCCCCTAATCCCACTGGAGGACCCCCCCCCCTGAACTGAAATCCTAGGGCCCCATTGGAAAATTTGCCCGGGGCCCCTGAAGTCGTAAGTCCGGCCCTGAGTGACGATGTCATAGTGTGTCTTGGAACAGCAAGGAGTCTCGCTGACAAAACATCTAGTATAATCTGTTCCGTAGTAAGAAATCAACGTGCAGTGTAGAATGTTCCGAGATAATGTTCATACAACACTACCCCGAGGGTGAGTGTAGAAGGGGATAACAGCTTCTTCACCATTGTAGGGTAAGAGCGCCGTTACAGTAAGGGCCAAATCTCTGATATTTTCCTCTTTCCACCCCTGATGCAAGCTACTAACCTTACCTTACTTAAAAATCTAATGGTGTTATTGGTTTTTTATGCAAGGAAATGCACTTTTGTAAAAATGCAAACTATATATTGAATAATATTTCGTAGTACAGAGAAGGGATTTCATGAGAATTTTTTATACTAAAATCTGAAGAGTAATATAGTGTTAGGGACAAAGAGATGGTGTTTTAAATTATTAAAATAATGGTTTAATACTTAACAAACAATTCCAACACTATAACACACTACTGAATTACAAAATAACAAAATATTATTCTGATTGTGTTTTTACGATTATTGTACAGGTTGAAATATTTTTCAGTCCTGTACTTAACCAACCACTGTTAAACTTCAAAACTCATTCAGGGCATTCAACAAATTAGCTTGTCAACAAATTAGCTTGAAGATCTTCAAACCAAATTCATATTCATTTGAGATGATGATGTGTGTATTTTAATTTAACCCAAATATATGAGTGAAGGATGAGTAGATGAGTGTGATGCCTTGTGTAGCTTTGTTTGGCCTACTGACTATACTTCGTTCACAATAGCGGTTTTAGGGGAAGAAATCTATACCCCTTCACTTGACCCTTACCTTTAAAATAAAAGCTCAACAGCTGATTAAATTCAACATATACATTAAACACAAAAAAGTGGCGGGGGAACTTTCCCTTAAACCGCCTAAAGTATTGTGAACGAAGTATGACCAGCTGTTATATTAGTCAGGATCATTTATTGAAACTGAAAGCCCAATGATCAAGGACAGCTGGGTCCAGTTTCGAACAATCAAAAAGCTACTGACTTTTCTCAGGATCGAACCGGAGACCTTTTGATTACCAGGCAAGCACTATAACCTCTAAGCTACTTAGCAGTATAGCTTAGATAAAAAATATTTATCTCTGCACTAGAATTTCCTAATCTTCCTGAACTAGGTAACAATATGAGATAGATTCAACTTGTTCTTTTTTAGTACAAAACTGACTACAGCTAGTCCATAGATGGGAAGTCAACAGTTAAAACAAAGTACAGTGGGAAAATTTCAAAATTGTGAATAACCACACTCCAGCCTTCAGTGTTGATAAACTCATTAAGATATGAGGCATCGCAGTATTTATGAGTGATCAGCTGGACAATTAGCTGTTTAACATGGTTGAGTGTTACAAGCTCATGCTACATTAGGTCATTACCAGGTCAATAGCCCATAACATTGCTCATTGCCCAGCATCAGTGACTAAACACCCCCCAAGGCTTCATTTGACAGATAACTGATTCCTCATTCTAGATGGACCTGCAGATTAAATACATGCTTATTGACTTTTAGGGTAGAATCAATTGATAAAAAATATCAGAATAAATCTCAATATATGGTTTGATTGGTAGCCTATGTTTTTTCAACCAACTTTGGGTAGGCCTATTAGATTTTCTAAAATAAATTGCATCTGGGATGGTTTTTTTTTAATAAAACTTATAGGCCTACATGGGGTTCTTAACCACAGGTGATGTTTTCGTAGGACTACAGATTTACAATCACACAATTTGGTAAAAAATGTTTATTTAAAATATTTTTGACAAACGCTTGCTTTGAGTAGATACACATATTTACAGTGAGATCGGATGTGAAAGATTTACAGTATACTGTGATATGATGTAATGTAACAGTAAAAATATTTTTAACACACCAGTCTGACAACTTGACAATTTACAAAATAGCTAGTGAGGACAAATAAAACATTGCAATAGCCTAATCAAAAATTAGAAAAGGTTTACCTACAAATCTTTTGTGAAATGGCTTCATAAGGGTACTTTTAACTGATTTAGGCCTAAATGTGTTTTGCAATGCTGTATTGCCACAGAATGCCCAGACGCATGAATATTCGAGTACCTTATTATTTTATTTTTATTTACAATAAAACAAATTAGTAACTGGTGTGTTAACAGACTTGATTATTTACATACTTAGTGAAACCCCAACAAGTATTATGTTAATTTAAAAACTATTAAAACCTATAAAAACAATAATTAAAATATTTTTAATAAACTACACTGTTAAAATAAGCTAAAATTTTGGAACACGATTAAAAATGAATACAAAAATAGTTATCATGGTAGAATATCTGCTTAACCTTATAAAATAATATGAAAACCCCATTTTACATATATGACTTTAATTTAAAAGCACACACTTCAGTAATAATTTATTTTCCATAATCTTAGTATTATTGTGTCTTAATTTTGATTTTCAGTAATATGTTTCATAACATTGGTAATAGTTTTTGTATTAGATCAAAGAGAAGTAAGATACAGAGGAAACACTTAGGCCCTACCGTGCACTTTCAGATCTGGCATGTTTTGCCGAAAATATACTTGTCATGAGCAAAGAGGAGACCGAGCGAACACTGTGCGGAAATTCTTATGAGCATTGTACTACATGAGAGCAAGGGAACAGTCTTGGACTTGCCCAAGACACCAGCACTAGAGCTAGACACCATTTAAGTGTACCATTGAATTTTTCCTCTGTACCCTCCCTTCTCTGTGGTTAATACATTAGATTATGAGTAGATTTGGTTACAACATATTCTAACTTTGTTTTGTATTCAAAGTTTTGATTAATCATTTAGGCCTACAAATAATGATCGGTCTACATAAAAGTTATCTCGTCCTTAGTTACAATCTATAATAGATATGAGTTTAAGACATAGGAATAGTCATACAAAAATAAACTTTGTATACCCTAAATATTTTTCCTCTGTATGGTATTACAAAACCTAGTTTTTGTATATCTCTAATTTAAAATGTTGAAACTGCTGCAAAAAGTACTACAGGATTACCATGGCTCTTCTAATACAAGTCAGAGGCAATGCCAAACTTTCAGCCTACGGAAACAGATAATGGAGCAAACAGATGATGGAGCGTCTGTGCTATGTTTATGTAAAACGTTATTCCTCTTAATGCCATGATAACAGGCCGGCCGATATGTTGTCACACACCAACGCCACGGCCTTGTTTTTGAGGAGTCTATTGCATTACAAATACAGTAATGCCAATTTATGGCAGAATATAGTATTTAGGTTGCATTGTGAATCCATTCCTTAAATGAGAAAATCAACTTTTAAAAGTTGTAAAAAATTTTACAGAAAAATTATACAATTACAGCAGTTTGCATTGTTTTCTCAATGTTTATTATTCAATAAAATAATTTACACTCAGGTCTAAGCAATAGGATAACTTATTGACCAATTACAATTTATTCTGTAAAAGAAATAAAGATATAAGAAGAAAAGGCATAGGCCTATTTTATTTTAATTATAGTGAATTAAAAGTTATGATATTGTGCAAGTTTCAGCTATAAGTCAATCTATAGATATAAAATAAGACTATTTGTACTCTGATTTATAACCATATTTGCATAAACAGTTCATTGAGTGATCGTGGCCGAAGCAGACGGGACTGACACTTTACTGGGGCTAACAGTGGAGGAAGTTGTTTTAGTTACAGTAATTTCAACACTGCCTGATGTGCTTTCTTTTGCTAAAGCACTTTCCTTCTTATCTTCGATGTGTTGCTTCCGTTTAGAATCGCTCGCACTCAGAGAATGATTCGGAGAAGCACTTCTATCTCTCTGCTCGGAACTTATTCCACTTTCCTGTTCTTCTAAAAATCTATCCATGTAGTCTGTTATTCCAGGATGCAAAGTGTACTTCTTCTTCTCTAACCTCGCCTTATTGGCAAAGATGTCGTGTCGTTCTGTTTTCTTCCAAAGGTAGTAAAATTGTACTAGTTCTCCAACAGATCTCGTTCTTACCTTATCTTGATGAATTTGATGAAAATCTTTACCAAAAGCTCGTAGGCCGTTTTCAAAGTTGCGGCATTCTTCCTCAGACCACAAACTGCTTGTGTCGGAGGTGGGGATGGCATTTAGTCTTCGCCTACGTAGTGCCTCATCTACATTGTACCCACATTGCAGTAGGAGATACAACGCTTGCTCATCGTCTCTTGTATGAGCTCCGGTAGGAATAGCATGAACTCCTTGAGCATTACTAAATATCGGCTCCTGAGCCTTTACCAGATACGACTCTATATCCTCATCTGTCAGCTTATCTGGGTTCCAAAGCAATTTGTCATCATTTTCATATGGCAAGGCATCATCGTATTTACACAACCCTTCGGGAATTGTCGCTTGATACGAACTTCCTATCATGATTGTTTTTTTCAGCTCCTCCTCTTCACCTCCGTTTCCGTAGTCATCATCTTCCTCCTCACTCTGAGGCCTAGACAAACGTAATCTCAAAGATCGAGACGAGGCCTCGCCTGACGGTCTTTGCAGCCGGATTTTGTCCTCCTCCTCATCATCAGATCTCGTTTCAAAGTCTGTTTCTTTCTTATTTGCCATTTTTAACTAATATACAATACGGTACTTATTATTTGCCGGGCAGGTCGTCTAACTTGCAGGTAGTCCGTGTGGTGGATTGAGCCTATCTGAGGCAGTGGTCGTCCGGCTCTGGCCCATCAACTGCAACCAAAATAGAAGCTCTGCGTTACGCGGCCACTCTAGTTTATGCAAATATGATTTTATCACATTAGGCCTATTTTAATTTCAACACCACTAATTTGAAGTATTTACATTTAACTTAGTAGGCCCTACTACTTTCAAAAATATTACTAAAATTTCCAAATGATGTGTAATGTTTTGTTTCGAGATAATAAGATTTCAAAACTGCCATTTATTGTTTAAGTTCATATAGGCCTACCTAGTACCTAACTTATAGTTTGTTAAGAAAATATTACAGTTAAGGTTGTAATTGTTAGTCTACCTACATCAACTAACCAACTAGACACATACAATCATCTTGGTTGGTCCTGTTTACAAAGGAAAGGTCCATTTTTGATCTTGTAATAATAAAATGGTGTGTTTGTTTATTGAATACTGTGTCAATGCCATTCTTCATGAATATCGTAACCTATTATACTAACAGATTAGTTTGTTAGCTTTAGCACGTCTAAAATAAAATAAGAAGGAACACTAATTTGGATGAGGGTATATTACTGTAGAACACAACTTGAAATCAGATTTCCCCTAACCAGAACGCTCAGCAAGAAACAAAACATCAATAATACCAGCAACAGCGACGGATGTAAGGAGGTGCCGGAACTTGTGTGCATAAGGCACTCAGTGTGCCTATTTAATGAGATTAGTAACCAATTATGCAGATTTTATTCCCCCAAAAGAGAAGTCCGCCGGAATGCCGGAACGCCGCAAATCGAGCACTTGGTATGACAAATTTGTTGCGGTCATGTATTTTGGAGTTGTTTTCATAAAACTGACCTAAGTACACTCCTCAATCAACCCTTGGCTTTAGATAAGTAAAGGGAAATAAAAAATTCCCCAATTTTTCCCCAAAACCAACCATAAAGGCTATTTCGGTTACGGTACAGTAAGAAAAGTTAAATACTGTAGGCTTTGCTATAAATTTTGTTAGCCTACATTTAAGTTAGCCTATACAGTACTTCTTTAACATAACTTAACTTACAGCTTGCCGATTGTGATAATTTTGGTACACTTAGGTAGTGGATGAAATATGTTCATAAATTAAGTAGAAAACAACAAAAGTGTATTTATTTTACATCCTACAACAAGTTACTACTTCTAGGCCTTCTCAATTTAAGTTAATGAGAGAGCTTGGAATGCCCCATTGATACAAAGAATGTGTATGATTGCAATTGAATTTGTAAAATTACTTTCTCAAATTTTTTTCTAGCCTAGAACCATCAATTTGTGTACCATCTAAGTTAGGCTAAGTTTTTTGGAAGAAACCTCCAGTCTACTTTCGATTCAAATCCTTAATTGCATTGATTTAATCCTTAATTCTTAATTGCAAGATTTTATGTAGGCCTATTGCCTACTTAACATCTTAACTTATCTTGTCTGTTGACAAAATCTATGCAAATCCCAATTTGAAACAATGTTTACAAGTTAAGTACAGTACATATAGGTTATGCATTTTGGGGTTTGCACCCGATTCTTGAATTTATTTTTTATGTTAGGTGACATTAAAGGCAGCATTTAGCTAAGGCTATAATGCAAGACAAATTTACATAACAATGACCGTATAACTTTAGTGCTCGCCTATGTAATTAAAAAGGTCGCCGGTTTGTTCCTGAGAAAAGTAGCCTAAGTAAGTATAGGTAAACTTACGCTAGGCCTAAAAACTTGAGTTAGCCTTTTGATGGTTTGAAACTGGGGGTACACTTCCATATCTGTTGACACAAACCGAATGAGTAATATTAATTAGGTATTCAATTGTTTAATTCGATTATCGTTTGGTTTGTTAGGTTAGGTTAACCACCTAACTAACCAAACGATATATAGGCCTAGAATAATAAATAATCGATATATCGATCGATATTACTCATTCGGTTGTTTGTGCCAACAGATATGGAAGTGTACCTGAAACTGGACCCAACTGTGTCTGATCATTGGGCTTTAAATAGGCCTAAGGAATTAATCCTGACTAATCATACAGCTGATATTAGCCAGTAAAAAATCTACAAAGTTCATCCCAATCCCTTCTAAACTCATCCGTCATCCTTCACTCATATTTGGCTTAAAATAGCCTAGGGCCTACGCACCTTGGAGGCACCCCATCTAAATTGATAATTGATCGAGTCAACAATGAATGGGTAACTAACTGTCTTTACCTAGGACTAAGCCTAAGAAATCTAAAAAAATATACCAAAGATTTAGGCCAGGACTTCCTATAATCTGAGATTCATTTAATTGACAACCCCTGTGATGTTGTTATTGTTGTTTATTTTCCCCACTATTTTGACATGAGACTAAGTAAGAGAACGATAGACCGAAAGCAATTTTATGATAATGGTACAAATAAATAAGCCATAAGATAGCGCTAAGAGCTACAAAAAGGGTCGAAGGAAGAGAAGCAATCATTCATTCTAATATTATTACCGTAATAAAAATACAAAATTACGTGAATTTAAATGTTAATATAATGTGGTCCTTACCTTGTTAAATATTGTAGACTATATCAAAAGCTCCAACACATCCTTGTCAACAAACGCCTAATCGCGACAGTTAATAAATAAACACTTCAACAAACACAACACACACCCATTTTAGAGATTTTTGGAAATTTGTTCCTGCAGAGAGCAGACAGAAGCACAGAAACAGAACAACTAGTAGGGCTGTTCCAAGATACGAACATACTCCCCCGGTGATCAGTGAAACGTAATTTCATTGAATTACTTAATAACTATTAGAAAATAATATGTATCAATAACATTTTTGGAATAAAATCATCATTTTTAACTCAATTTGTATTGAAATTGTTCTTTCTAACGATAAAATTTAAGTTAGTTGACATGTAGAATTTTAAAATAGAAAACGTAACAGCGAAACTGCATAGAGTTTAAATTTTGGTTTAATATCATCATAGTATAAACCATAAAACATACTCCCTTCAAGAGTATGTATGATTCATCATACACTAACAAATAAATGTACAGGTGTGTTTTATCTTTGACTATGATATGATAATTGTTTGTAAGCCCTCGATTCAAATAAGGTCATGAATCTCTAGAGCACTGAGCTGTAATTTATTGTTACTGGAGTCACCACACCACTCTGTGTTTAAAAAGCGTACCACTGTTTTTGTCGGTTTTTTTAAGTTTTTCGTGTTGTTATGTTGGTCTGTCTATTCGAACCAATCAATTGGGGTTATTTCTTGATGGCACACTTTTCTCTACAGTGTTCAACCAGAGAGTAGTTTTTTTTTTCCCCTAGGACGCTAGGCACGAGATCGGGATTGTTTTTCACATTACTTCAGGCTAGATCTAGGGGTTGCGGTATTATCACTTACTGTATATAAAATCCATTGGCGATTTGGAGAGATTTTAACCCGGAACCTCAGGAACCGAAGTCCCGCGCTCTAATCACTACACCAGGGGCCCATTTAATAATAAACTACAAGTTACAAGCTACAACATGTAACTTGTAATTTCCATTAGATTTGCATTGGGCGATCCAGCTGAATTACTAATATATTAGTTTGTAGTTCATTATGAAATGGGCCCCAGCTCCCTCCATAGAGAGTAGTGACTCCAGTTATAATATATTCATCTGAATTCTCTAGAGTACTAGAGTTGTCTCTATTTAGTAATTTTTTCTTCATTATAATGATTAAACTTTAGTATTTTTTCACAGCACATCTCACCATGACCAAATATTACCCTCTATTAAGATCAATTAATCATCAGGTTGTTTCTGTAATTATTTCTTAATCTATGTCACTACACCTGGGAGGCTGAATGCTTATAGTGCTCGCCTACGAATCAGAAGGTCACCGAATCGATCTTCGATCCTGATTACTGACTGGCGTTAAAGTTACAACTGTTGTTTCTTATGGCTCTGAGCCGGGCGTGCCTTTTAATGTAAAAAGTTAGTTTTTTTATGCATGGGCTGGACAGTGGACACCCGAACCGATTACTATAATCACAGACATGGGAAACAAAGGTCAATGCTATAATTACTTATTATTTGCTACTTATGTATAGTTCATAGTTTGACAAAATTGTATTAATGGAGAAACCGTTGGAATAAATAAATAAATAAATATAATCATGCGCGAGCCAATGCTTCTCGAAATTAATTCAAATAGAAAAACAACATCGTTTTACCTTTTGTTTCCAACGGATAACTCTTTGACGGATACTCCTTGATAAATCCTTCAAGGTGGTGTTAATGATAAACTTTCCTTCTTCTTTCTTCAATTAAAGCATGGATTAAATTATGATTAAATACTCTTTTAATTAGGGCCTAAAAAAATAAAGAGACAGCATAAAAGAGAAAACAAACTTTTTAATTACGTATATTTATTTTAAAAAGAAATATTAATGTTGTACAAGTAAACATTTATATAGTATGCTAGTCCACAATCTGGCAAAGCAATCGAAATGTCACTGAATACTGACAGCTGACATTTGTCAATATTATTTTCTTTTCATTTTGTTTTCATTTAATTGCTTTCCCCTCACCCCTTTCCTTTTCTCTTTTTTCGCACAAAATAGTCCCTAAAATTAATTTTATAGATTAGTTTGGTGTCATCCATACCTCTCACTAGAGAATTTTCAATTCATTACTGCTAATTTAAAAGTTTTGCTGTTTAAATACTTTTTTATTAAGTGAATTTGCATGATTGGGTGTAGTGTCATAACATTTTAAATTAGACTAAGTTTTTGAATGTAAGTTAATTCTTCCTTTTAAAAGGTTATCTGTATCAAGCTTTATCCTTTCTGCTTTCTCCTATGAAAAGTGAAATGTATGCTTGTTAGTATTGATTTTCTATAGGTTATGTGATTCGATTTTTAAATCCTAGCTTAGGGTTAGAGAAACAAAACTTATCATTATCATCATCTTTAAAATCAGGGTCTAAAATACACAACTTAATTTACTCACAATATTTACAATGCAAAGTAAATAGATATAAGTTAAGTTACATTTTAGCGTTACCTAGGGCCTGTTATTGTTTATTTTAAAATTATGTATTTTTATTTAGTCTATCCCGCTTGTTACTTATCCTATTACATGGAACTTGTTATTTCCAAAACCGTTACTAAACCAGTGGAAAAAGAGTGAATTTTTGGCCTAAGCCTAGCTTAAAGTTAAAACTCTCAAGGTATGTTGAACCTTTATTTTCACCATCCTACTTTAAGCTCCTAACTTAAGATGGTTTGTTAAAAACTGATGACGTAACTTAAAATGTTCAAACTAATTCGTCCGCAGACAATCAATGTTAAACTAGTTACTAAACCAGTGGAAAAAGAGTGAATTTTTGGCCTAAGCCTAGCTTATAGTTAAAACTCTCAAGGTATGTTGAACCTTTATTTTCACCATCCTACTTTAAGCTCCTAACTTAAGATGGTTTGTTAAAAACTGATGACGTAACTTAAAATGTTCAAACTAATTCGTCCGCAGACAATCAATGTTAAACTAACTTAAGTTTATTCATAGTTGTTTGTGATTTGATTGGCTATGTTATCATGTAGGCCTAGTTTCGAGTCCACAATCACTTTGCACGTGAGTGTCCTTAAGCTTATGGTATTTTTTAGTCAACAGGCTGGCCAATGTGATGTATTGTGGCAGGTTTATGTTGTGAAACTAAACTTAAGCCTACTTACTAATTTTTTTGGGAATTTAAAAGGAAAGCACTGACAAAAAGTACAAATCCGATGGTTTCCTAGGGTAGGTGTAGTGGGCTGGGGAGTGTGTGAGCCCGCACTGTTGCCAGATACCATAGATTAAACTATCCGACCAGAGAATAATTTATTAATATTCTCTGTTTGTTTGGTTATTAATATTAATATATTATTTAATCTTATGGCCAATAATTTATGACCACGTATTAGATTTATTTTACGTAATATGGCTATATGGTACGTAATAAGTTATACACCTTAGGATAGGTAAGTTAACAAAGCTGTTATTATAAATAATAGCAAGTTATTAATTAAATCTATTTGTACCGTACTGTAAGTAATATCTCCATCAGTTAAAAAAATGTACAAGTTATTGTTAAGCAATTGAAAATAATTAAATTAAAGGTACTTAACTGAAAAAGTAATAGCCTAGTAAAATACTAACTCATTGGTGCAAATAGGCCTACAAGGATACATTTATTTCACAATTTAATCAAGAACAGTATCAGTAATCGAATAACCAATTCGTAGTTTAAAGGAATGAAAATGCAGGACGGATAGTTTTTCAATTGAATGCAATTTTGCAACAGGTGCTTATACAGTTGGATAGAGGTAATTCATCCGATTCACATAATGATAGAATGGATGGTTCGTCCGGATGAATCGTTTATGAATCAGATAGCCTTAGTACCCATCAAGTGTATGTAATGAATCTTTATTAACCTCACCTAATAGTATTTACAAAAATATTTAGAAAAAAACAGTAGTATCCAAATAGTAAATAGAGAAATCTATGTGTTAATTAAGTTAAACCATTTGACTCGTAACCTACCAGCAATGAGGGTACGTGTGCCCAACATTTTACAATTTAAATATTCTTAGCATAATTTAAAGAAAGTTGTTCCTCTTCTAGAATTGGATCTAAGAACTTTTCAGCCTTCTAAACAATAAACTTTAAGGCTAGGCTTCAAAGAAACTTGTTCAGTAAGTTAAATTCTAACACATGGATTGTGAGAAGATTGAATCAACTATTTTAGACAATCATTTATGCCGCAAGATAACAACCTCCTAGTAACCAACTCGGTAAAATGAGGATCTAAGTGAAACTGTACAAGGTAGGCCTAGTTGTAGGTATATTTATTAAAATAAATTGTTCCAAAGATTTATTGTTTCAGATTGAACATGCACAATGCATTTGGTAGTGAAATTACAGTCCACAAAATCAGTCCATCCGACCCTTCATCAGAATTCCACGGGTAAGCCAGATTAACTAAGTTTAATATCTGTAAATAGTTTACTCTATATCCAGCTGGTATCCATTCAAACAGATACTGTAGGCCTAAGGATTTTTTTTAAGGCTACGGACACCTATAGCTTATTCTACTTGCCAGCAAAGGTTCTTTATATCACCAACTGAGTAAGTGATCGACCCTATAGAAATCTATAAAGTTATTTTCTTTAAATTTCTTAGAGTATGTAGGCTATGTTTTCTAAAAGCTTGAAAATGTTGCACTCATTCACGTCTTGAATTTTGCAGGTTGGATGCTGTTTTCAAAAAGCAGTATTGCGATGAGTCCAGCATGATATCGCAGAATTTGTTTGAACCTGAAGTGGAAATTATAGTCAAAGAGGTAACCACTTTGTGCACTTGTGAGGTCAAACATTTTAACTTTACACTCAGTAGCTATCAGTTTCAATAAATAGGCCACCTGAAGTAGAGAAGAGGTTAGTTGGCTAGGGTAGGATGCCCAGAAGAGTTGGGTGAGTACTGGTTGCTCTGGTTAGGCCCTTTAGTTGAGAGTTTTTGTTAGGGAAAGTAATATTTTAAGGGGATTAACAGTTAAATAGGATTCGTGATTTTGATAAGGGAATTTCTTTTGGGTTGAATATTTTGTTTGATATAAATTACTTGGAAGTATATTAGTTTTTGGGGATTTTTGTTGTTGTTATGATTGTTTTATTGTTGTATAGAATAGTTAATTGCTTTGAGATAGTAAAAAGGTTCAGTACTTTGAATTTAATCTGGTCCTATCATTTAACAGCCATCCAACTCCTAACTAAAGTTTATATAAGGTTAAAGATCCGGGTTTCACTAAAGCTAAACTCCCATGTGTATATGCAAGATAACCTGTGATGGGTGAGAGGGTGTCCTGCATATCACAAAGGGGTGGAGGCGCCCCTTTGTAAAGTGATTTTATAATTTTTTTGTCCTAGGACGCTAGGCATGAGCTCTAGATTGTTCATCACATTACTTCAGGCTAGAACAAGATTGATAATTTGTTTGGAGATATTTTGCAACGCTGACACACCTGAATGTGTATTTTAAGGCGAGAATGAGTGTTGGATGGATAACTGGAGATGACAGCTTTGTTATTGACCAAGATCAGCTGGGTACAATTTTAAACCTATAAAATGCAAAAAGAAATTAAAGCACTTGACATATTCTACAAGAAAACATGTGTAACAAATTACATGAGGCTAATAACTCTTTTAATTTTTATACATTTTATATTTCTGTTGCAGGATTGGAATTTCACCGATGTCTTGGCTGACTACATGTTAGCTAGCCGAGAGCTGATAGGGTTTCCTGATCTTCCAAGCCTTCTCGCTCCCACGGGGGCATTTGGTAAATGAATATTTCTACTTGATAATCTTACTCTCCTGTGGTAGTTACACCCAAGAAGATATTTGGCCTAACAAAATGTGTACACTTCCCGTCTTCTTCATCGGCATTAACAATTTTCAACAAGTCTTTTGTTACTTTTTCCTCCACTTGTTCTATCCAGATTTTCCTTTCGTATTTGTTTTATTGCAACTTATCTTCATTCCCAGTCTGATTCAGGCGTCTGATTTTTGCCTCAGTACAAAACGATTTTGTAAATCGTGAACAAAAATATGTTGTTGGGCATGTCGATCTGGTTTTTATTACGAAGTTTCTCAAATTTAAGACACCTTTTCACTACCAAACCTTCTTTTTAACGCACATGGTTGAAGATGATAGCTTTTCTGGGAAATTATTTGAACTATAAAGTACAGTATACCAATATGAAAAATTATTAGTTTACTAAGCACAAACACAGCTTCTTGAAGAATCTTTGTAGTTTAGTTTTACACGTTTGATTGTAGGCTGTGTGTTACAATCAGATTACATTTAAATTTACTAGGCTATGAGTAAACTTGTTATTAAAAAAATACTTAAATAGCATTATGCCACTACTTTCTAATGGTAGATCCAAACATTGATTAATTTGCAAGTTATCCCAGTTTTTGTTTTATTTCACTAACAAGAAGCATTTGTTTTCCAAGGACTTTAATACTTTACACTGTCTTTTTACTGAATTCTGTATGATGAGATAAACATAACTATTTTTGTTATAGTTTATTATGTCTAAACTTATTTCCAGATATGTACCTACCAAACCAGATGCCATACTTTGATGGCAAAACCATCGTGAGAAGGACAAGAGGACCGAGAGCCGTTAGATACATAAAAGATGAAAACGGAGTGAAGTTCTACCTTTGTGAATACTGCGAGTACAAGTGCAGAAGTCCAGGGAATCTCGCCAAACATGTTCGCCGCCACACTGGAGAAAAACCTTATGTCTGTCCGTACTGCGATTATAAGGTAACACTCTGGTTTCTATTGGTAGCCTCTCATTTAGTTTGATGGTTTTTAATATAAACTTGTTCTAGATTTATAGGACTTATTTTTCTAAGATAGAGAGTAGGCTTACCTAAACCTCTTCCTCATTCGGTAACCCTGCTATCCTCAGAAAAAAACCTATGACCTTGTGCTCTTTGTTAAATTCTTAACCTCAAATGTATAGATAGTTTGAATTTTTGACCTTATTTGATTTATTTATTGAAGCTCCGCTGTATAATAATGTGTTGTTGTAGGCTGCAGACAGAGGCAGTATAAAAAGTCACGTAAGGAGACACACGGGTGAACGACCTTACAAGTGTACCTACTGTGATTACAAGAGTCCCTACACTAGCACACTGAGGGCTCATATGAGGAAACACACTGGGGAAAAACCATACTTCTGTACCAAGTGTGACTACAGGTAAGGAGACACGGGTGAACAACCTTACAAGTGTACCTACTGTGATTACAAGAGTCCCTACACTAGCACACTGAGGGCTCATATGAGGAAACACACCGGGGAAAAACCATACTTTTGTACCAAGTGTGACTACAGGTAAGGAGAAACACAGGTGAACGACCTTACAAGTGTACCTACTGTGATTACAAGAGTCCATACACTAGCACACTGAGGGCTCATATGAGGAAACACACTGGGGAAAAACCATACTTTTGTACCAAGTGTGACTACAGGTAAGGAGAAACACGGGTGAACGACCTTACAAGTGTACCTACTGTGATTACAAGAGTCCCTACACCAGCACACTGAGGGCTCATATGAGGAAACACACTGGAGAAAAACCATACTTTTGTACCAAGTGTGACTACAGGTAAGGAGAAACACAGGTGAACGACCTTACAAGTGTACCTGCTGTGATTACAAGAGTCCCTAAACCAGCACACTGAGGGCTCATATGAGGAAACACACTGGAGAAAAACCATACTTTTGTACCAAGTGTGACTACAGGTAAGGAGAAACACGGGTGAACGACCTTACAAGTGTACCTACTGTGATTACAAGAGTCCCTACACCAGCACACTGAGGGCTCATATGAGGAAACACACTGGGGAAAACCCATACTTTTGTACAAAGTTTACCAAAATCTTGAAAAAAATTATCATTGCTCATACTCACAATTTTATGTACTTTTAAAACAATTTATCACTATTACTATAATTTTTTAGGTTTAAATGATAATTATTATCTACAAATTCTGTTCAGAATTAGGATATTTTTGGTTGGGTTAGGTTAAGTCATAACATAAATCTTTCTGATTAATGTGCAAATTATATGGTCTGAATAAATCAACGGAAAAGGTCCAAATATAAAATAATAACGATTATGAAACTGTTTCTCAGGTGTTCTCAAAAAGGTGATCTCGGCATTCACATGCGCAAACACTCCGGTCACAAGCCGTACCCGTGCACCGTGTGCAAACAGAGATTCACCGTGAGCAGTGCGTTAGTCAACCACATGCGAACGCACACTAAGGAGAAACCTTACAAGTGCATCATCTGTGGAGACACGTTCTCCCAATCAGGCAATCTCAAGAGTCATCTGTTTAGTCATACCAAGGTAGGCCTAAATCATTTAAGTAGATAATAAAATATATTTAAGTACACATTGTTGCAAAGACAACCAAGATCTATTTCCGAGACCTACAAATGGGAAACATGTAACAGTTCCAGGCAGAGGTGGTCCCTGGGGGAGGATTGGAGGGATGAATCCATCTCAAATATCAGGATGGACCCCGTTTTTAGGCTTTACATTTACCTGGTAGGAATGGGGCACCCTTGTTGATAGAACTACATGGGAATTTTATCCCCGCATTTAAGTTGTCGGCAGTTTTTTATCGAAATAACTTAGGCGTAGTTGAAAGCTTAACAAAAATAAACCCATCGATCTTGTCATGAATTGAATTTTTATGGAAAAAAGATTGGCCGTCAACCTCTTGAATATACACTAATTGTCAGATTTATGTCAGATTGAAACATTGAAAATGTACAGTTTTTTCTACACTATGTGAATTCTATAACTAATCCTTTTTTTTTCTTTGATTGGCATGTTTCTAGCTTAGTAGATATAGTCAGACTTCAGTGCGAGAGGTACATGGGTTCAATCCTTCAAAAAAGTTTGAGGGTTTGAACTTCTCTCCCATGAACATTTGTGATTCTTATAAAATTCCATTTGTGTAAGCACTAAAAAAATTTCCTATTCCACAGGCCAAACAGTTCAACTGCGAACACTGTAGCTACGGCACCAACCGCAAGAAACTACTAATGAATCATGTTGCTAAACACGAGTCTGGCGAACTACCGACTCCCGAGCAAGAAGAAGAAGAAGAATCATCCGGGGATGAAACCAAGTAGACTCTTCCTGAACCAAACAATCCAAAGAGTAACATTGTAAGCCTCGTAAGTGTGTAGGCATAGTAAACCGGGAGAGATATTTTGATAGGGTTTAGTTATGAACAACGTTTTGCTCATAAGGTTGTATTTGTTTTGCATTTGCAAAAAGATGCAAGATTAATTTATGAAAAGAACTGAACGATCAAAACATCTATGGTTTAAAAAAACAAATATTAGCTTAACAGTTGAAGATTTTTTCACCACACTATGATGTTTTTAGTTGTTTTACATGGGTTAATTGGTGGCTGAAAGTTACTTTTTGCTGGCTATCATCGTCGTTTGGGGACCGAGCAGGTTTTTACATCCCTAGGGCCGCAAAATAAGATGACCGCTTACTTTCTTAAAGTAGTATCCATAGCATTGCAATAGAATTGTTCTATTGTCACCGCTGCCTAGCAACTATTTATTTTTTTATTTGCTGATACCTCGAATTATTCCTTCAAATAACCTTAAAGTTTTAGTTGTGTTGACTGTCAGTGTGCATTATTATTGTGGTAAATAGTGGTAATAAAGTATAGTGTGGTGAAAAATAGCGTTCGTACCACGGACCGAAAGGGTTTTGCAGCTCTCGATCGATTTTCGGCCCTAGGTGCGAAATATTCTATTGTTGTGCAACTGAATGCAAAAAAGCTGCCTATGATGGGTTTGCGTTCTACCATTACTGGTAATTACTCAGTTCGGTTCATTCTTGTTCTGTATGGTCATACCCAATGCTTGTTCGAAATAGCAGACAAGACCAAATACACCTGTCTTTTTTTTTCTACGGAAGAAATTAATGGGAATAATAATTCTTCGATGTAATATATTAGTACTGTGCAGCATGTTGTTCAAACTTGAAACTTAAATGAATGAATCGTGAGAGTTTGATTTCATTTGAAGCCATTTGATCCTTATGTTCAACGCCATAAAAAAGAAAGAAAATGATCTTAACACAGTTAGGTGGTTGAATTTTAACTCCTTAGATTCGTAAATTTAATTCTCGCAGGATGTGAGAGGCGATTCATTTTACCAGTTTAAAAACATGATCAATAATTTTAAATCTACTATTTTCACGTTACCTATTGTTATTGTGACTGTTTCGTTTTATTTAAATATGGTATTTGCGAGGAAACAAATGTCCCTAAGTACAATCTTACAATAACATTTAATAGCTGCTAAGGGATGTACTTGTTTATGGTTAAGGTATGTCAATGAATATCTATTTTCCTATTTATTTTCATATGATAGTTATTTACTTGTAACTTGGAAACAAGAGTGAAAATGGGCATTTGTTATGTTTAAAATTGTGTTTCCTCCACCAGTCATTTGTGAAACAAATAACTCTGTAGTTAAAAAAATTAACAGAAGAAATCGACTTGGCAAAGTCACCTGTATTTAGCGACTGCAATATTTCAGGGAATTTTTATAGATGTGATATAAAGATAATCTTGCCAAACGTAGAAGCAAATGTTAAAGTAGGTTTATTTTGTTATGTATTTAAAGAGTTTTATAACCAAACACGATATGCTTTATTCAATTAGTTACGAGCAAAATTCTAGTCAACGGAAACCTGATGCTTCACAATCAAATGTCTCTTAAGCTAGTCAGTATTACCAAATTTATTTACGGAGTTTATGGTATAGGTTATATTTTTAAATATCGTGTAGTCGTAGACTTTAGATCGGAGTAGACTCAATGTAATGCAATATTTGATAAACTGTCTAATAATGAAATATTTGTTATGTGTGGTGCCCATATTGTAATGTACAGTAAAATACTCGTCAGTCATTAGATAGGCAGACTGTGTAAAAACATATTCTATGTATTAATGTCTATGAGTTTAATACAAATAAAATGTTTTGTAAAATATTTGTCTGTTCTTTAAACCAGTTTAGCATTATTTAATGAGTTTTATATTTTTCTTTTGATCATTATAAGTATAAGTAGCCTACGTTATTGATGAGGATGAAGAAAATATCATTGGTTCCTCAAAGTACGCTTTGTATAGAATAATTTATGTGAATCCCTTAAAGTTATTCTTTCTTTCTCAAACAGTGTTACAACCATGTATGCAGTTAATAGACCTGATTTTTATATAAATATTTATTTTGACCTTTAATTAAAATAAGTAATACAATCAAATCAAGAACATCAATTAATTGCAAAAATTAATTACCCTTAATGTAATAGTTATAATTTAAACATTAAAGTGTTGTTTGGCTCAATTCAAGCTTTTAGTGTATGCCAACAAAATATGTTGTACAAAATGATTAATGATTATGCAAGAAGATAAAAGCAAGGGAGTAGTAAAAACCTTATAGTAATCACTTGGTGTTATCATTGGCCAGGAGGGCATTGTACTCCCCGCAACGACTTGGATTAGCAAAGCAATAAGTCATGCTGTGGATATTCATCCTACTCTCTTAAGGTACGTTGCATGGAGCGACAGGTGCGACGGTTGCGCAGCGACTGTCGCCGAGCGGCTGTCGCGGGACACTGATCTTAGGGGTTTTGCTTAGTCCTGTTTTGCTTGGAGCTACTGTCGCTAGAGCCGCGAGCTGCAGTCGCTGGGTACTGCTCCAAGACCAGTCAGGAGCGACAGTCGCTTAGCGACAGTTACATTTCTGATTGTTTTTATAGTGTACAAGTACTGTACAACATTTTGACAAGTTCGATGACCTTTTATTTTCGCTATATGGAGTCGGACAACGTCTGGGATTAAGTTAAATTTTAGTGGTGAGGAAGAATTTTAATATATTAGTAGATTATTTAGATTGTCGAATTTAAAGACTTCTAATTATATTTTCGTTTAGGTGATTCAAAAAAATATTGTTCGTTTAAATGGTTATTGATCAAATTGGCTTAAAAGTCAGACGTGTCATATGTAAATATATAAAATGCCAATTATTAAAGTAATGTGGTAAGAAGAGGCTATTCAAATATTAATGGAGTATATAATGTAATTGGTATTTTTTCCATTTACAATACAATCAATAAAACATAATTTTAACTCTGTGAGGAGGTTGTTTATAACACTGATTTCCAATTCAAGTTATGCTTGTGTACTGCAATTTACGGAGAAATTGAGTAATTGTATTACATTTTGGCTCGTGACATGGCAGTTTTGGAATGTTTCTCATAACAAATAACTAGGCCTATAAAGAATACTTTATTGTTAAGTTTTACCTGTTTTACTAAGTGAATTTATCGAATTAAATTAGTGACTTTATAGTGCGCACTTTTGAGGTTAGGTGCACTGGCGGTACCACGTCTCGTGACGCCAGGAAGAAGTTGTCGCTCCAAGCAAAACAGTCTACCATCCCGCGACTGCCGCTCGGCGACAGTCGCTGCGCGACCGTCGCACCTGTCGCTCCATGCAAAACGTACCTTTAACCAGAAAACAAAATGTTTTAGACCAATTACACATTACTTCATAAATATGATTTAACTAACCTTTCTTTCTTAGGTTTGGATTCTATAACGGTAAAGATTATCAAAATACTTGTTAAAAAATTAAACATTTATTTATAAAATAATTTTGTCTTAGATAATAACATATGTACAAATAAATTAAAATATTTACAGATCAGGTAACCAATCATGAAAAATTAACAGACATCTATTGATATCTCCAACCATATTCTTGCTCTCTTGGAGTGTGCCTCCGAAACAGGTTGGGTCCAAAACCGCCATTTCCAAATCCTGATCCAAATCCACCATTACCAAAGCCTGATCCGAATCCACCATTTCCAAAGCCTGATCCGAATCCACCATTTCCAAATCCTGAACCGAATCCACCATTCCCAAAGCCAGTTCCAAAAATCCCATTCCCAAATCCAAAGTTGTTTGTGCCGAATCCTCTTCCGTTTGACCCTGGTTGGAATCCAGCAGAGTCAAATCCACTACTTGAGCGTTCGTGAGAACTGCTGGATTGGTAAGATTGATGATGTTGATAACTGCTTCCCGTTCCATGGAACATTGGCCAACCTAACAACAAGATATATGGTGTAACAAGTATAATAAGTTATTATGGTGTAATAAGTTAATTTCACTAATGTAGTTATTATCAACATACCTATAAAACTATGTGAAATAAGAAGGAGGATATTAATAGGTGTGTCTTCTGTGTACTCCAGATGTCACTAGACAGTGTCTTTGACTATTGGATACTGATATGTTGTATTAATTATCAAAGATAGCGTTTATTATAAACCTTTGTTTTGAAAACAAAGAGTACTCATAGAATTGTGAGATGCGAGGATAGCGCTTACCTGAATAAGAAAAACTCCAAAATGCACAAGGATCACAAAACTTTAAAACTATGAATGTATACCTACTAATTTTTGTGAATATTATGAAGTTTTCTGTTTCTTCTGACAGAGTGAAATCTTTCCCATACAGGTAAACTTGTTATCCTCACAACAATTGTAAGTTAGACCCTTATTGCTATGGTACATCGTTATTATGGAATTTACTAGTGTTATGTTTTATGTTGATCAAGAAATATTTAAATGTATTGGAAATTATTAACTGGGTAGTGCACTAATCTTGTTATATTTTAAGTGTTTTCTTGCCTGAGAACGGGATCAGATTATTTTCCAGATCCCAAAACCTTGTAAAAGCTTTGTTTTTTAATTGTGTTTAAGAATGTCCACAAATAAACTTTAAACAAAGCATTAGTGTTTTAGTGTTACTAATAATGATTCTGTTTAACCTAGTCATTTAATCCAACTTGTTTGCACATGTCAAGTTCTTTTACATGACGAGGTACAACATCCCTTTTTTTGTGTACTGTACACTCTTGTTAATTCGAAATTGGTGGGATAAGCAAATAAATTTGAATTTTAAAGAGCTTTGAATTATCAAGAGTTTGATTTATTGGGAGAAAAAAAACCATTCAAATTACAGAGAGTTCATTTGTTTAATACTGTACAAATTTTGACTCGACTCCACCACTTTTTACAGCCGTGATCACTTCTTTTTTTCAGCAATCGAAAAGGATTTGTATTTATGCTTAGGTTCTATGATAGAACAACAAATTTAGATTTGGCCACAGTCCACACAACAAAAAACTTCAACAAAATGGAACTTAGCAAACTACAAAACTGACAAGTAATCTCGTCACCGCTTCTTTTCACACACGACGATTATACTTACTGGTTAAAATGCCGTTTGAAAACTATTGTTAAAATGCGAGGTTAGCCACTGCCGAGAGACTTTGTTTCGCTTTCCGCTTATTGTGCCAGTGTTATACTTCAATCTGGTATAATTCATTTTCAGATCCGACTATTTTATTGATGGTAGGGATTGTTACAAATTTATTGTAGTGTGGGGTTTAGGCTTGGATCTAAGGACATGCAATAGAAAAACGATAATGAATGTAGGTACTGTAAGCATTGTGAAAGGAACCTAACCTCAAAATTGTGCTAACTAAACAAAATGTCCAAAGCTACCATGGGAACAAGATGAATAGTTTCCTGTTATAACAGGAAGGGACCCCTGACTTTGAAATCGAAAGTTTCGATTTATTGAGTGTTTGAATTACCAAGAGTGGACTGTACTAATATCTTAGTCATAACAGCAATCTAGAGACCATCAACATGGAATTCATTAATTTTACCTGTGATGTTAGCAATGATCGAGTCCACCACTCTGCCTATTGGAGTGCTAATGTACGCACAACCAGCCAATATGCCAGCTAGATGGCCCAGGAACGATGCATTGGGTACGAGTAGATGGATGGCTACAAGTTCGGCCCAAGCCGCGTATTTGCTCGGAACTGGGATACCCATTATGTAGGCTGTACCCGGGCCCGTCTCAGCTGTAGTGATTACCTTCAGGGCAAACAGAACGCCTGCAAAGAGTAGACAAATTTGAGACAAAATATTTGCTAGTTAGCAGTGCTCTGCTACAAAAAAAAAAAAAATATATATATATTCCTAAAAAGTATTTTGGGAAAATACATTTTTTCAAACTTAAAACATAGGAATATACCCCTACTACAGCAAACCTGCAGACTTAAGTGAATTTCCATTTACATCATTGGATTTTTACTAAAATACTAGCAGCAAAACCTAGTGTTGCCCAGGTCAACATAAAATTCACAATAATGGTAATAAAATGTTTTTTAATTGAGTAATACAGTATCTTGAACTTAACTGATTCAGTAGATAAATGAATGATTATTCTTGATAGAAAATCTGTGTGTGCGGACCTAAGATAAACAGTATGAGAATCGGTTGAGTAGAAAAGCCAAATGAACTTGGAAAAGAAAAACTAAATTGAACTCGCCTAAGAAATGTACAGGGACAAAGTTGCTTTTGTGCATAGCTCGAAATATATGTCAGATAAATGAATGACGATGCTTGATGGCAAATTTGTGAGTGCATAGCTTTAATTCAAAACAAAATTATCAAAATCGATCAGGTAGGAGAGCCAAACAGACTGGGAAAATAAACCTCATTTTTTAAAATATAATAGATTATTTTATCACTCTGTACCGAAAGCCATTTTTGATAACAGGTTATATCAATGATAGTTGAAACAGGCATACCTAAACTTGTTTTTGGATGTGTCTAACATTCCTGATGATTTCACTAAAAAAGCTTCAAAGATATTTAACTTCAACATCTTCTACCAGAGAAATCACGGGGAAGAGGAATACAGAAAGTTTACAGACCGGTACAAAATGTGTACCGGTAACTAGGTAAATAAATTAAGTGACTAAGTATGTAGTAATGAACTGCATTGACTAAGTAATAAAAACTGCACAGTACCGTACAACAAAACCTTGTATTTTAATTTTTAAGCTGTTATGTAGGTTTGCTATGAAACATTTTCTTTGATTTTGGTATTTAAAAAGTTTCATTGAGAAAAATAATAGTTTTAATATTACTGAGGTCTGATTTTCTGTAGTTGTGCATTTTTCCGTTTTTATCAGAAGTTTTGTTCATTACTCATACAAAAAGTGATTTTCCAGCACTTGGCTCCATTTTTATAAGGTAGTGAAATTGAGGTACAGTTTTAGTAACGTAATGAATTGTACTATTTAACTTAATAATTTCAAATGTATTCCCTATTTAAATAACATTAGTTTTAACTATTGCTTAGGTTTGCTGCTATGTTGAAGGTAATATAGTGGGTGTTTTTAATTAAATGACAGAGATCAGCCAATAGTAGGGCAGGTTAAAAACTACCCACAAGACATGGGATTGAATACCTATTACATGAGTAATATCAGGCCTACATCAATTTTTCGATAAATAACTCAAAACTATAGCCTAGAGGGGGGCAGCCACTTTATCGCTGCCCTTGATTGGCATTGTAAAACATTAGTTAACTAAAATAACGTTTAACTAACTTAACTTAACTTAAATCTTTCTCCATTTGACCATCCTATCCTTGGATACAGATATATTTTATATCCTTGAATACTGTGCAGTTCCTAAAAAACATAGATACCAGTGCCTACAGTAGCCTACTAACCTGAGAAGCCAATTGCGCAGGATTTCATCATTGAATAGTCCTCCAAAAATTCACTCCCAAATTTAGCAAGGGCAATATAAAAAGAATTAGTGAGCAATATCAAAAATGCCAATAGCAGAGCAAAGTTTGAGCTCCCATAGCGGTTTTCCAGTGTGCGGCCTTTTATTAAGAAAGACACCATGTTGTAATACAAATGCATATCATCTGCGTGTTCAAATGTGGAGAATATGAACCTTTTGTAGTCTTTGTGATTGAGAATTGCATCAGCACTAATACAGACATCGTACTTGCTCCAAGGTACGTTTATGACTCCAAGATAGAGAAGGACCTGCAATATGATGGAATAGATTACATTTCTTTAACTGTTGTTTGAGTTGAGCCTCCGAATCACTGATCAATACGTGTAGGCCTACTGGTGAAAATACCTGCTGTCAAGTGATCCTTGTGACCTTGAAAGGCGACCGGTTTCGATCCTCACGGGATCATCTTCAGGCGGACGTCGTCATCGTCTTTTCGCTTTTGCAAACACGTAGTTAATAATAATAATAATAATATATCTTTATTGTCGTTTGGTAATATAAACATTACAATAGACAAGGTCAACATGTTTTGTTACATATGTTATATAAAATATTAAATATTCAGAACAGAAAATGTTAAAATAAAGTTAAAAGAATCTTAAAAGGATAAAGCATCAGTAATAATAAAAACTTTGAAATTAACAGGGAAAAGACCATAACACGAACAAAGAATCATCAAGACTGCTTGGCCTCACATTTAAGCGTTGAAAAATCTACATTCTGCAAAAACTCCTCAACTGAATAAAAAGCACGACTTGTAAGCCAATCTGATAATTTTGACCTATACAAATGAATACTTTCCTGATTTCTAAAATATATTGGAAGTTTATTAAATAGTTTTATTTGCAAATATTTATAACTTTTGATAAATTTTGATAGCCTGGCTTGAGGAATATATAAATCTTTTGATTGTCTGGTGATATACCCATGGATTGAGTTGCAAGGAACAAATTTATTCAGATTCTCTTTAACGGAAACTAAATTGTAAAAAATGAAAATATTAGAGAGTGTCATGATTTTATTTTCAGCAAAAAATGCTTTGCAACTAACCCTATCCGGAATTTTAAACATAATTCTGAGAGCCTTAGTTTTTTACAAAACATTGAGATTTACAGTCTTATTAAAATTTATGTTCTTAATGGTTTTTAAAAGTTTTATTTACTTACAAGGCCGTCAAAATAAAATCTTTAAAAACTATTAAGAACATAAATTTTAATAAGACTGTAAATCTCAATGTTTTTTTAAAAAACTACGTGTTTGCAAAAACGAAAAGACGATGACGACGTCCGCCTGAAGATGATCCCGTGAGGATCGAAACCGGTCGCCTTTCAAGGTCACAAGGATCACTTGACAGCAGGTAATTTCACCAGTACACAAACTGTTTTTGTTTGATAATTAGAATCGTAGTAGGCCTACAAAATTCAGAGTGAGGAGAGGTAGCTTTGATTAGGTAGCTTAAGCATGGAAATGGGTTGACTAGGCCTATTTCCTTCAATAGTTAAAAAAAACTTACATTTACTGCCTGGTGCCTGGTAACTAAACAGTTTAAATTAGTTAGGCCACACTCTCATTAACCCTCCAAGTGTCCATAGTAATGGTCTTAATGTCCGCCCATTTATTGCGCGATCGCAGGGTTTTATTAAAATGTATCTTAGAAACTTAAAAACACTCTAAAGTAGGCTATACTGTTTTATATATCATTTTGTTTGGAAAACTATGGGCTTTAATGTAATATACAATGCAAAACATTACAAAAAAATTTTCAACAATTTTGTGGGGTTAACATTTCTCAAAAATTATAAAATAAATGAAAAAAATGTATGTTTGCGCTCAACAAATTTATAATAATTTTAGGTCTACAAATATTTCAAAATAGCCACTTTTTTCTAAATTTTATGAGGATTCCAAAAATATAATAGGTAATATAAGGGAAGTAGGTTTGCAAATAAATAAGTTATGGGTGAAAAACAGATTTCGTACATTTAGCGTCAGCTAAGAATGCATAGCCTAACCATAGCTAGGAATCTGGCAGATCATTTACATCAATATCACTACATACTTCTTCAGGAGCATCAACCAGCCCTTCAAAATCACTTAAATCTTCTTATAATGCACCACGTATATCACTACTTTTTATTTTTAACACTAAAACAATGATAAACGTAATAAAACACATCAGTCATCGGTGCGAGGTTAACCAAGTTGTTTACAAATACGCACGTCATCTGTCTGCTACAATATTTTCGGAACTAAAATGAAAAGCGTCTAGAAACAGACATCAGGAGAAAGCTTAGAATCTGCCAAAAACAACGATACCAATCTCGATCCAGTTCAATCTGATTCAGTCAGTCCCAGAGCCTTCGCCGTAAACTATGTTTGTGTGTCGCTTAAACGACGCATAACACGGCGGGTGTGTTGTGCGTCGATTACGCGACCCTTAACACTCGGAGAGTAACGAGTAAGTTATGAGCATATTACATCAGCCCCTCTGAATATTACATCACAATATTATTTAAGGGAAAATTATGTTACATGGTTAAAAGCTGCGTGTTAGCTGAATGTATTCGAGAATTCGTGCTAGGTAATTTATGCAGTTTGTAGTTATGCCTACCATTCAGATTATTTCTCTTTAACTTCCAAGTCCCAAGAGGCTACACTGATTTTACAATCTGAAATCTTCCGTAAACGTGGTTATAACTTTTTAACTAATAATATGTGCTAAGACAATTTTAAAATTATATATACTTACTTGTCCAAGAATGCTAAATAATGTAACCCTAGGTATAGTTCCAAATCCAATATTAAACATTTCTGACATTAGTAGGATTACTCCTAATTCGAGTCCAGGTTGCCTTCTCCTGTTTTGAGCCATTGTCTTGTTGGACTTTTTCAATTCATAAACAAACAATTTTAATTATATTTCCTTTTAGCCTTGAATAACCAAATTCACAATACCAATCAACCTTCACCTACCTAACTAACCTGAACAGTGAACACAACTGTCAACACCAGAAACGACTAGAAACAAACAGGGCAGACGACATTCGACCTTAGAAGAAAAACTGTACATTGAAAAATACGATTGGGCTGGGTACTACAGATAGACCAAGAGAAAAGCCACGCACGATGCCAATCATTTCCAGCAGTGGCAGTGATTAGCCATTGTTTGGTCATTGAGTATAGATAATGGCTTTTTCTTTTTTTTCCTCTTCGTTTTGTAAAGAATTGCTGTTTGTTGTGATTGATTTGACTCATCATTTTCTTAGTTTGCAAGAAACCCCATACTTCCTCGTGTTGTTTTTTATTATAGATAAAACATACTCCCCTGTTATTAACTTAAGGAGAATTCATTTTAAAGATAATTTCTCAAATAGAGTCATAAGAAATCGTACGTAGCTTTATATCCCTCGAATTGGAGGGCTATATCCCTAGAATTGAGGAAATAATCCTCTAAACCATCTCATGTGAGAGAGTCCTCCTGCTCCAGAAGATGGTTTTGAGGATTTTATGACAGGAGCTGAGTAAAGGCAACACTGCAAACCTTTATTTCTAGAGGTTGGCATCCTGACAGTCTATGGAAACTACATATTGAGCTCCCTCCTCCCTCTACGTAAATGAGAATTTAGCTGATTTTAAAATAAGAGGGCAGCTTCACGGTCACAATTTAAGAAACAACAACCTGATCTCTATTCCCAGATGCCGTGTTTGTAAAGTGAAGGGCAGTTTCCTACTACTGGTTTGTTAGATGTTTCTGCTTTTGTACCATTATTTATTTGCATGATGTGTAAGTTTAGGTATCCTAAAACCTTGTACACTAATTGCTTACTATTATTATATTAGTTGACTGAACTTGACGTGTGCCTCTTCCAGCATTTATTTATATAATTTGACTGTGTCTCATGCATTTATATAATGTCTATAGACGAATAAATATAATTTCATTTCATTTCATTTATACGGTACTGCCTGAGATCAGACTGCCTGGAGCCGAAACTGTTCAAAAAGAAGCTATAAGTCGTGATGTTGCCAACCACGTGCTATAAGTCGTGATGTTGTCGTGATGTTGTTGGAGCGTTTATTCCTGCTTGGACGATTATTTTGATGCACAGTTAATTAACTAATAATTATATGTTTAAGCATTTTATTTTATTTTGTAAGTTTTATGATATTTGTATCATTACTGACTCGACCTATCCAGAAATGGTCAACGGTCAAGATTCCATTCGGTAATTATGGAATTCCAAATAGTACTACCAAGGGCCCATATTTGATAATAAAGTACAAACTAATATTATTAGTAAATTAGCTGATCGCCCAATGCAAATCTAATGGAAATTACAGGTTACAAGTTGTAACTTGTAGTTTATTATGAAATGGGCCCCAAATAGTAAAAACCATAGATAAAACATACTCCCATAAAACATACCTGTATGAAATGAAATGATATTTATTTCCCAACTGAAATGAAATGAAATAATATTTATTTCCCAACTGGAAAATAAAATTCGTGGTATTTTACGTAATAAATTACACAATCCTTGACTTAAAAATAATTTACAAAAATAGTAAGAACAGAATAGCATGTATGAACAAATACATGTAAATAGTTCTATACAGATCCATCTTTTCTGAAAATAGCATACTGTTTCCTGCTTGCATGAATGGTAGTGGTACTACTGATTAATCTGAAGCGTAACATAACCTTTAAGTTTCCGGTCTTCTCGGGAAAGGGACGTTTCTAAAACGTGAGAGTTTTTAGAAGACTAAATTTGACTAAAATGAAGGCCAAAGGAGAGGTAACTAATATTCACTTATATTTGGTTTTTTAAAGCAATATACGTAAAATACTTTAAATCTATTCATAAACATGCAATTTTATTCTGTACTGTATTTCTGAGGTAGGCAAGGCCTAATTGTGATCCCGATCTTTATTGGTTGGCGTATTTTGAAGTTTACTTTCTTCATACTTCTTCCCTTCATCTTTGGCCAGTGATACTGGATAGATGGCGTCAATAATACTTTTAAAACTCATATTTAGGACTGTAAAAACAAATATTTAAAACTGTACATTACACATTTTGGGTCATATGTTTGGCCGCAGGTCTTTGCAGAGCTAGGCCTTAGATATTTTGGGTCTCTGCTTGATTGTGCGCACTACTTATTGCTGATTTTACCCACCTAGCTTACTCCCCAGGTAGCCTACATGACGTTGATACTGTCGTGTCCGTTAAAGTGTCGGGTACAGTTTTTTAACTGGGCTATGCTAATTATTGATTGAAACTATCGAATTGAAAATATTGATTAATAATCGATATTTTTAAATATATCTATTATAAAATTTAACTATCATAACCTAACCTAACCAACCAAACTTGCTGACGGTGAAAAAATCGAATGAAAGTTTACTAATCGAATCGATAGTTTCAATCGATATTAGCATAGCGTGGCATAGCCCAGTTAAGAAACTGTACCCAAAGTGTCCTCTATTTGTTGGAATCATCAGTAATATGTAACTTATCGCGGACGTGTATTCCGCACAATGGCCAGCAATAGATTTTTTAAGGCACGCGCATTACTTATTGTCGATTACCCCTCCTTACTCCCCAGGCAAGGCGTGTGAAAGAAGGTGTGTGCATAGTGACGTCAGTGCGAGCAAAACGTGATTTTTTTACCAAATCACATGATTTCTTGTAATTTCTCAAAGACTTTCGAATGACAATCATTACGAACAAGCATTGAATAAGTTATATAACACTATTTTGTTTTATATATCGTGTATAGCGTTGTATTCAACATTGAATATACTGTACCTATATTAGTGTTATACAATATGGCAGTAGTCTAGAACATTTGATAGTTCTGTCAAAGGGTGAAATTCCCCGATTATACCACCTATCTGTTGTTTTTTTTTGTCATATCCGAACATTTAATCGGATATGCTACACGTTTCAAATTTGGACTGTCCGAACGAAAAAATCTCACTCATACCCTACCTATAAGCTACTTGACACAATTATATCAACACCAAAACCTCGTAATAAAGACTGACAAAATGTGATGTAAGCTGGTATTTAATGCCAGAGCAGAAATGCCTCTGCAATTATTAACATTGTGCAGACAGCTCGTCCTACTTGGCATCGGTTTGCGGGCAAACAAATGGCCTACTGTGTGTTTTTCATTTGTAGGTTATGTATGACATTCACCAAGTGAAATGTAATAGTCTACTCGACCACACATTTTGCATATCGGCTCTACTTACTGTATCTATTTATTAGGAATATTATTCTTTATTTTACGGTTACTCATCACTAAATAATACATAATTACCTAGGCCTACTAAATTATTTAGTCATGAATAACCATCAAACAAAGAATAATAATATTATAATTACATCACAACTAAGACATAAGTTACCGGAATGAATTTGTTAGGAATATTTAATTTATAAAAAGGCTGATTTGATTATTTTATGAATGCTTAATAAATTATAGGCTACTGACCATTGTTCTTAATAGCCTATTCTTAATAGGCTACCTTTGTGGTGTTGAGAGCTATGCATGTTTTCGTATTGTTCGTAACGTTTTCATTGAGACTGATCATGTTTTTCAGCTGAAAGAATTTGAAGTGATCGGAAGGAAGCTTCCCAATGAGAAGGAGAAGAACACTCCTCTTTACAAAATGAGGATATTTGCTCCGGATTATATTGTCGCCAAGTCAAGATTTTGGTATTTCCTGCGTCAGCTGAAAAAGTTCAAGAAGAGCACAGGAGAAATCGTATCGTTGAAACAGGTTTGTTATATATATATATTATATATATATTTGATTAGCAAATCTTTTAATAGACCCTAATTTTAACCCTTCCCGAAAGTTGAACTTAGGAATCTGAAGGTCACAAGCGTACGACGCATATATGACGTTAAAACATGTTAGGCCATTAATCCATAGGCCTATTATTGTTGTGATAACTGTTGTTATCTTTTGTGGTTGATTTCTGAGTGATGGGTAGGCTTGACTGATCTCGTTACATCTGTTGTTTACAAAACCTGCCGCTGATTCATCCCTTATGATATTTTTCCGCTCAGTCTGTTTATGTGTTCTTAAGTCAAGTAAATCTAGTAAGATAAGATCAGTGGAATATTCAGTGTTACGTGTTGTTTATTAAAAATGCCGTTTAGATTGAATGATCCAAATCTATATTTTATGGTATTACAATTAGATCAGTTTGTTTCCTCTTTTGGTAAAGTAATAATAAAAACGTCATATTGTTCTTACAGTATCGTGATTTTTTAAATTTCACTTCTGTATCCAATAGTCAATGATTTCCCTATCAACAATAATTTGGGTTTGAGAGGTTAGGACTAACCTTTTTAACAGTTCATTAAAAATACAAGTTTTTTTTTTTCTAAATAAAATTGACAAGCATTGGGCGTATATATATGGATCAATGCATTCCTTAGTGAGCGTTGAACGTACACCACTACAATAAAAATTATTTTTTTTAAAAGGGTGACTATAATCAACTGAAAACATCAGATTTTGAAAAGCTTCACCCTGTAGCCGCCGCTCGCGCATGGTTAAACAGTTGGTAGGCCTTTACTTTTTTTTTCAGAATAAAGATGGATAGTTTATGTCTTGATATTGATCACTGCATATTATTTTCAGATCCCTGAAAAGTCACCCATCAAGATCAAGAACTTTGGTATCTGGCTGAGGTACGACTCACGATCAGGCACACACAACATGTACCGTGAGTACCGAGACCTGAGTGTCAGCGGAGCTGTGACTCAGTGCTACAGAGACATGGGCGCTCGCCACCGTGCTCGTGCTCACTCCATCCAGGTAATGACACACTGTAGTGGGGGGGGGGGGGGGGAGCAATTCTGAGAACTTTAATAGCAATTTTACAAATGTATTTCTAAACTTTCTTAGTGTAAGATCTCTAAGCAGTTTGATGAATGTACTCTTTAGTTTTGAACATCTTCCCAGTGTTCAAATATTGGTTTCAGTGACTTAATTGTTAAAATGGCAACTGGCAAGTTCATAGTTTGAGAAAAGGAGTGAGCATTACTACTGTTGAAGGGTATCAAGTCAATCAGGAAATCCAGAAATTTTACATTAGTATTGATGACAGAGAAAAAGTGTATATAAATTTTGTCCAATTGAAAATGTTCATTTTAAAAATTAGGTCAGTACAGTTGCTTCTAGATTTTGTCAAGGAAAGTAAGAAAATCACATTCATTGCAGAATGTGGTCAAGATTTTGCTGTACTGTAATAGGAAAAATACCCAATTCAAAATAAAAATTAATTTTTTTTTATTTTTGAAGCAGTTAAACTGCATTTTTGACTGATCTGAAAATTAATTGCTGCAATCCAAACTGTGTCCAGCTCTGATTATTTTAGATTAGCAGCTCTGTGTTCTTGGATTTGTTTATTTGTGTCCTAAAGTTTTTAACTTGCTGATATCTAAAAGTTTTGTTTTGTTTCAGATCATCAAGGTGGAAGTCGTAAAAGCTGCTAATTGCCGTCGTCCTCTTGTTAAGCAATTCCACGATTCCAAGATTCGTTTCCCTCTCCCCAAGAGGATCCAGGGAACCAAGTCCATGCCCAAGTTCTCCGTGAGGAAGCCACGTACCTTCTTCCAGTAGGCGGATATTTCGGTGGCATCATTTGTTTTACTTATTAAACCTTTGTAAAATATTCTTTGTTTTGTTTTCCTGTGTTTTATTTCTCAAGTTGAGATTTGTTGTAGGTTGAGATAATAGCGAGTAATTTGATGTGTAAATTTATTTTGAATGTTAAAAAGATTTTATTTTTTATTTTGTTTTCTTGTGTCTATGCAAGCCATGCACTACAATTATCAGTTTAAATTAATTAACAATCTACTATTATTGTGGACAATGTTAACGATGATTAAAAGGGCCTATGCCATCGATGAACTTCATTCTGCTACATAAGATACATGCTGCTCCGCAATGTTGCAAAAAATATCACGTCATCATATAATTAGATTTTTGATTGAGTAATACAGTATTTTGAACTTAACTGATTCAAATGATCAATAGGTCAAATAATAGCCTTTTATAATTTACTGATTATTTTGAGTCAAAAACCTAAAATATACTGGAGCTATTGATTTTTAATCATAGAAAACCCTTATAATAAATAACTTTAATGTTGTTTGTTCACCTTGTGTTTGCTTGAAACTCGTCCGATTTGAACAACTAATAGCTCAAATAAAAGCCGGTATTTCACTGAAGGTTCTTAGACCAAAATATATTGGGTTATATAATTATAACTGGTAAAATACATCTTAAATTGAAGTAAGAATTAAAAAATAAAGCAAATTTATGTTTTTAGGTCGAGTAATTGGCCTACAGTAGATAAATAAAGGGTGATTTTTTTATCGGTGCGGTTTTTAAAACTAAATGAAAAACAACCTGCATTGACATAAAAATGCATTTGTCTGAACTACAGTGTCATGACATTAACCTTTTAAAAATGATTTCTGGCATATGGGCTCCATTCCGTTCGCGTAGAAAGCCCAATCAAGAAGTCCAATTTTCGAATACTCTTTCCAGCAGCTGTGGTTGAATTCCGCCAATAACTCGACGAATGTTAGCTTCCAAGTCATTTAAAGTTTGTGGCTTGTCAGCGTATACTTGAGACTTAACATATCCCCACAGAAAGAAGTCTGTTGGCGTGATATCACACGACCGTGGGGGCCAGTTGACACAACCTCTAAATGAGATGATACGTTCACCAAATGTTTCTGCCAAGAGGCCAATTGTGTCGTTTGCCGTGTGGCACGTCGCGCCATCTTGTTGGAACCAGACATTTTCTAAATCCACTTCAAGTTCGTTTAGCTGAGGAACGAAAAATTCCCGTAACATTGCCCGATAGCGTTGAAACTTTAAATGACTTAGAAGCTAACATTCGTCGAGTTATTGGCGGAATTCAACCACAGCTGCTGGAAAGAGTATTCGAAAATTGGACTTCTCTATTGGGCTTTCTACGCGAACGGAATGGAGCCCATATGCAAGAAATCATTTTCAAACGTTACTGTCATGACACTGTAGTTCAAATAAATGAATTTTTATGTCAATGCAGGTTGTTTTTCATTTTTTTGTTTAGTTTTAAAAACCGCACCAATAAAAAAATCACCCTATATATGCTGATGCTAAGTGTTAAATCTGTGCGTGCATACCTTCAATTTGATACCTCAATCATGAAAATCGGTCAGGTAGAAGAGCCAAACTAACTCGAAAAAGAAAAACCAAATTTAACTCTCATAAGAAATATGTGGGGAGCAAATTTCATAAATGAATACCAACATTTTTATCTTTTTAGGATTTTTTGAGAAGATAGCAGGCTTACCTGAATGGGAAAGAGTCCAAACTGGCACTGGAAACACAAAACTTTACAACTATATACACAAATGTCATAAATTTGTGTATATAGTAGTAAAGTTTTGTGTTTCCTGTGCCAGTTTGGACTGTTTCCCATTCCGGTAAGCCTGCTATCCTCTCAAAAAATCCTAAAAACCTAGGCCCTTGTGCTCTATGCTACACCCTTAACCTCAAAATTTTTATCTTTTTAATATGACCATTTCTGGAGTCGGGTGAAGGTATGATCAACCTTTTCGATGGTACAAATTTCGATAACTCGTACGATTTTCTGAGTGGGACTGTAAAATAAATGCCGATGCTTGATGTGAAATCTGTTTGTGCATAACTTCAATTTTCTTTTAATTTATGCAACTGGTTTGAAGAAGCTCCGGTAGGGTGTTAAAAAGCCTTATGGGCATTGTGAGGATAGCTCTTCAGGATGCGTGCGAGACAGCATCGCCGAGTGCCATATTGGTGGTAAATCTCTCTCTTGTCAAACAGATGAACATAAACTTTCAGTAGTGTAAGGATTTTCAACACATACTGGCTTTGTGAAAATGCCCAGGTCTTTAAAAAAGGGCGTGCAATGTTCTGTATGATCGACTGACATTAGTGACATTATTATTCTTACAGTTTTCTTCTGTAAGAGCAAGATGTCCTCCACTGTTGACGAGTGGTCCTAAAATACCAAGCCGTAGTTAAGATGACTGTGGAATAGAACATGGTAGATAGTTACCAAGTACTTCCTTGGTATGACGTGCCGAAGTTTCTGTATGAGGCATATTACCCTGGATAGCCATACACATACCCTATCAATGTCAATGTGCAGTTACTTTAAGTCACTTCCTCTAGTTACCAAGGTTGTGTCAGTGAAAAGGAGAATGGAACCATTTAGCCACAAATCATTTACCACCACACTGAAAAGGAGGGGACCAAGCACCGAACCTTGCGGCACTCCGTGTGAGATGTCTAATGCAGGAGGAGGCCCTATTTATTGCCCACAACTTGCCTACGATTTTCCAGATAGCAGTACAAGGACTTCAGCACAGTTCCACCTACACCATACTTTGCGAGTTTGCCTACAAAAGTAGCTCATGGGACAGAACATCGAAAGCCTTGCTGAGATCACAGAGTTTTAGGAGGATTGACTCGTTGTGTTCAAAAGCATCTGTAATCGTCTCTACAAGACTCATGAGTGCTGTAGTTGTAGATCTCCCGCCTCTGAATCCATGCTGGGCACTCGAGAGAAGGTTGTTACTCTCAAGGTAGGCCATGAGTTGATTATTCATGACTATCTCCAGCACCTTGGAGAACATGGAGTATGGAGATCATTGTTACCACTGTCTGAGGCAATGAGAATTCTTTTAGAAGTTATGAGTAGTGATTTTAGTAATTAAAACACTGTCGTAGGTAAAGTAGTGTACGTAACTCAATAGTCTTAACAACACTCATAGAAGTTTTTAAGGCACTCGAGAAGGCTTGTACCTTAAAGTTTCTACTCCTGTCATTCACACTATTTAACGGAATCGTTACGTAAACTACTATTAAAGGGCATACACTGATAAAACCCCTAATTTTGAGCTCTTTGTTACAGAGAGATATTTTTTAATTGAGTTTGTGTGCTCCTGCTGTTCTAAGACTAAAACCATTACTTGTCCGTCAGCTGTCTATTGTTGTATCATGGTAATTTATAACATATGTTACTCAAACAGAACATGTAAATGGTATAAATGTTTGATACATTGTTGACAAAAAATTAAAAGCTGTTAGGAATTAATATCCCACATAGTTTGTGCATTCTATTGTATAATATGCCACATTGGGATCAACATTTTTAAACTCACTCTTAGCCAATGTTCTTACCAAGGTTTCACTTAGAGCAAATGAAACCTAAATTCCTGCTTTTTGTTGGAATTATATTTTTGTAACACTCAAGAATCCATGTAAAATGTCTCAAGAGTTATGATAACAGTTGGTTAAGTTTAAAATGATGCATTTCCTCCTTTGGCTTTCTTGCAACTCAAGACATTGCATTGTAATATGTTATAATGAAAATGGAAACCTTTACAAGGTAATACACACCAGCTAATAAAAAAGTAAAAAGGGCTTTAATACACCACACAGTTTTGGGTTTTTATAAGATTTAATTGGTTACAAATTTCAAGTACGCTTCAAAATTTCAGTATTCTCGACTAGCTCAATAAAGAATAAATAAAAGTAAAATATAATTATCTTACAATATTAGACTAAGAATAAACCCTGGAAATTAAGAAGCTGAATGTGTTTGCAACCTACCTAGAGTTAATATTTACTTATCCTATCGTTATAAAAATTAAATACAAAAATAAAACTGATTTGGTTCTCCAACTTATTACCGAATATCAAGAGGCTTGCAGTCTGTAGATACAAAAATGCCATTTTCAAAATCTGACATGGAAGCACCTCTTCGATCCATAAGTTGTAAAAATTCTTTACTTCCATATAAACTTCTTACAAAAGGGCGGAATGCTCGGTTACATCATGTCTTCAGTAGGAATTTCAATGGTTTTTACAAAATGTCTTATATATAAATATTGAAAATAACAATATAATTTGTTGAGATTTTCCTGTAGGAAGGTCCAAATGGTCTCTTTCAGTTGGTTGAGTTTATGCCTTCTTCTCCATATCAATAGCTGAAAAACGACAACATTATTATACTTTTATAATCCAAAGGTGAATATTCAAAAAATGAATATGGTTAAAAAGAAAAGTCTGGCAACAGCGATCTAAATATTACTTTGGATTTTTGGTTTGAACTCAAGACTCAACATCTGCTGGGCTTGAGACTTGACAAATCAGCTGATTTGGACAACGTTACTTATTTCTGTGTGTGCGTGTAAAAATGATACATAAAATTACTACTGTATTTTGGGTTTTACATATGACTTTCTTCAGTAGATGATGTCTGTGTGTTGAAGTTTTTAAGGCACTCGAGAAGGCTCATACCTTAAAGTTTCTACTCGTGTCGATAACACTATTTTACGCAATCGTTGCGGAAACTACTATTAAAGGGCATAGACACTGATAAAATCATCATTTTGAGCTCTTTGTTATGTGTTTTCTTAGATGATGTGTTCAGTGATGACTGGCTGACGATGACTAAAATAGGATGTCTGTGTACAGACTGAAGGGAAAATAGCTCAAATTTGATACCGAACTTAGTTGCTGAATATAAGGATTACTATAAGTAGGTAGGCCTACTTACACCCTTTTCAATAATTAATTGGTAATCCAGAGCCTGTAACAAATCATTAATCTAAAATAAATCTGTGATGTATAATTTATAAATTCATAAACAATTGATGCAAAAAATCTCATTTTTTATTAGCTACGTTATTTTCTACTGATATTTTGGGAAGTTCAATCATTCAAACTCCAATAATGCAAATAGACGATTATCAGAATATCTTAAAGAAAGAATTATAAAAACCCTAAAACCACAGTAATAATAATCCTTTTTAAAGAAAGCAAAAGCCGTGATTGAAGTAAAATCCAAAACTCTCACATTTTCATAATTTTCTACGGTCACAAAAATTGACATTGTTTATTGCAATCGTAGCAAAATCTTGCACATCTTCCGCGGTCTTGCAGAAATAATCATCGTCCCTGCAGTCACGGAAACATCATCATCTTCCTTAATCACGGTAAAATGTGAAATATATTCCACTGTCATGTAGCCATAATCATTGTCTCTCGCAGTCATAGAAACTCGTCATCATTTTTCACGATTGTAGCAAAATCTTGATAATTTTCCATGGTCATGGAAACATTGCCACCTCATTCCGTTATCGAGGCAAAATCTTGATCATTATCCACGGTCTTGTAGACATTATCATTACCTCCTGCAGTTACGGAAACAACGTAATCTTTTTCCCCGATCACGGAAAAACCTTAAAATCTTGATTGGTCTGGCTATTATTGGTCTAGCTATCATCTTCGTCTCCCAGTCACAAAAAATCATAATCGTCATCTGCGATTGCGGCAAAAGCGTTAATTTTTAATTGTGAAATTTTCGCAAACACATACTGCAATTAGAATAAAAGTCTAATTATAAGAATTTTTGACTATCCGAATGTGTTACGGCCCCAATTGATCCGCATAATTGGAGACTGTAATATTAAGTACTGGAGGAGAGCCAGCCAAGTCAACCTTAAAACTTGCCTAAGGTGTTAGTTTTAGAATAAAAATTGTGCAGTACAAAAATAACAGTGTCCAGTTAAGATTGTCATGATTATTTTGTGTTCTTACCTTCTTTAGTGGGGAGGGGGTTCTTCACAATTGTTTCTGTGTGCTTCAGTTTCTTGGAGTCGAAGTTCTCGATTCCAGCGATGAATTGTTGCTGGCCTTTCTCCGCTTCAATAGCTAAACAATAAAAAAATTACAACTTGTACAATACCATACAGGATTATGAAAAGCTTTATAAACAGACAGACATTTATTGATAATGGCTTAAGTCTTTACCAGTTGTTTGAAATTAGTACAAAAGTAATTAGTAAAAAGAAATTATAATCTCAAAATGAAAAATATCAATTTTACTATTTGACCTGAATGTAGGCCTAATATGGCTAAATCTGGGGATATTATGAGGTATTAGTAGGACCTAAGACTAGGAGATACATATTTGCCTAGCTGCGGAAGGAATTTCATCTGAATGTTCTCCAATAATAAAAGAACCATAAGCTCAAAAATGAAAATTACAAAAACTTTTATTTATTGATGGCAACATAACATGCTGTAGACTTTTAAATGCAATGGTCAATCAATTATTACCTAGTTGTGTATTTTTACGTTTAACCCAAATATGAGTGTAGAATGGTGTCAGATGATCTGTTTAGCTTTGTTACTGACTAAGAACAGCTGATTCATTAACCAGGATAATTTATTTAATGATCAGGAACAGCTGGGTCCAGTTTCAAACCATCAAAAAGCTACTGACTTTTCTCAGTATCGAACCGGCGACCTTTTGATTGTTAGGCAAGCACTATAACCACTTGGCTTATCAATAATTTCCCTGCAAGGAAACGTCCATTTCAGTTTAAAGTTTTTCCCCTTAAATTTATAAAATTTGAATAGTCTTGTTCAATTTAATTCAGATTAAAAAGGCTGAGAATATATGAGAGGCAGTGATTTTTTTTTAATTTTAAATCATTTCTCAAGGGTCAAGAGGTTAGTCTATTCAGGAGATTTAAATTACATTGATGCATTATTCCTAAGCTTGTTAACCTTACAAACCAATTAGCTTAGCTGTGTCACAATTAATAAATTTGACCATCAAATAGGTATGACTGGTTATTGTCGAGACAACCCCATTTGCTCGAAAGATAAATGTAACACTTTACGTTAATGTATTTTCTGATAGTTTTAGCGCTCTGATTAGAGCATTACACACCAGTTTGTCAACTTCTTAGACCTACAAATTTCTCTGCAACCCTCTTGTCTTAGTGGAAGTCCAAACAGAGTTACTTAATGGAAAAAAAAACCACTTCCATATTACAAGTGTGGTAGTTTTTTTACTTGGACGATTTTATTTTTTAATTTGCGATGATGGCTTCACAAGTTAGTGCTTTCAATGGAAGAAAAAAGCTTTGACTAGATTTGACAATGAAGAAAGGTTAATAATTTATTGTTTTTCAAACACATAAACACATCTGGTGTTGTCCTACTTCTTCGCTTATCTGACTTTGCCGAAACCGGGTTAGGTAAACAAAAAAACAAATAAATGGGTATTACTTATCTTCTATTTTACAGTTACAATAGTTGTTGTGTTTTTACTTTGCCTGTATTTTTTTTAAGAGATGATGCCTTTGAAAGTTAGTGCTTTCAATGGAAGGCAAACTAAGGCATAAAGATTTTTCAACAAAAGGCACTAGGCCAGGATTTTGTTTTGTGGAATGAAAGGATACCTTAGAAGTACAGAAAAGCTATAGAACACTTCTGTATGATCTATTACTTCCCTTTACTTGTTCTAAGTATGAAATAGGATTTTTTGTGAGGACTGCTGGCTTACCTGTTTGGAATGAGTCCAAACTAACACAAGAGACACCAATTATTACACCATATGCACAAAACATTAGAATATATCACTGTCATCGACAGCATTTTCAACTAAGGAAGAAAGAGTTTTCTTCAGATCCAATAGGGTGGACAGTGATGTTATTGGATTTACGTTTAATGGCGGCCACCATATTGGAACTGAAGAAAACTCTATCTTCCTTAGTTGAAAATGCTGTCGATGACAGTGAAATATTCTAATGTTTTGTGTATATAGTCTAAAGTTGTGTGTTAAGTTTTATGTCTCTTGCACCAGTTTGGACTCTTTCCCAATCAGGTAAGCCTGCTATCCCAAGGCCCTTGTGTCCTATGTTACACCCTGACCTGACCATGTTAGTATCAAATATATTTGACAGCTGAGGGCCGGACTACACGAGCGTATGAAACGCCACCGACAGTACGCGCAAAAAAGTCTAGGACTACACGAAGCCGACAATCAGCAGCGTATTGAACGCGAGAACATTGACTACACGAGCGTATAGAACGCCCAATGTGACTGACATTTGGACCGTTCCAATATGGAAACGATACTGTACAAGTCAGATGTGTAGCTGGTATGATATATTGTTGCAGGCTCTTATCAAGTTGTTTAGTAACAGTGCAGTTTCAAGTAATGTTTCCACAGAATGTACTCAGACAAATTCTTTCAGCAATACAAATACAAATATTGAGACACAAAAAACAATAAAAAAAACTACTCCAATTACAACAAGTAGTCCAGAATTGGACTTGCCAAAGTGATGGGAGGGATGTATCAACCAACACGCAGGAGAAATGCTAGTTGCCGCTACGTGTAGTCCGGCGAGCCGACGATCTGCCCGCGTATTTTACGCATCCAGAGGCGTTAGATCTGCCGAACGCCTGAATTACGCGTCCTCACCAGGCAGACAAAACGCTCATGTAGTCCACATCATATAAACCTATTGGCTCTGCAAAAAAAGCAGACGGTCGGCGGCGTTTCATACGCTCGTGTAGTCCGGCCCTGAGCAACCATATTAATTTATAACATATTCACGCACGTTTTGAACTATTTTCCGTGTTATCTGACCTTACCGCAGCCAATTCAGGCCAGGGAAGACTCGTAGGACACATTAAATTCTAATAAAGAAACCATAAAACAACACAAAAATACAAAAACAACACTGATTCTTAGGTGAACACAACACAAAACACAACCAAACAGTGTGACTGTGACATGCTGTAACAAACCTTCAGGGTCGGGCAGAGGGTTTTTCTCCTGAGTTTCGGTGTGTTTCATCGTAGCTTTGTCAAAGTGTTCCACACCATCGATGAGGTTTTGATGTTGCTTCTCTTGCAGCACATCTACATGCAGGCATTAATGAAGCAATCATGCAGAACAAGCAATATACAGTATTATACTTCTCTTGTTAATATTTCCCCTGTTGTTAATTTTAGTTAATTTTTAAGCGCTTCAGAAAATGAGAGCAAAAGCTAGGTTGGAATTTGAGATGAATTAAAATTGTCATTGTAAAGTCGGGTTTTATGGTAGGCCTAGGCACAGAAAACGTACTACTATAACCCAGAATGCCAACCGCATGGTAAAAAGCATTAAGCGGTTTGAGAGAGCTTTGCCTGTCAAACCGTAGGCAGCGCCACCAGCGTTGCTATGCTATTGCAGGGCAACGCTGGTGGCGCTGCCTACGGATTGACAGGCAAAGCTCTCTCAAACCGCTTAATGCTTTTTACCATGCGGTTGGCATTCTGGGTTATAGTAGTACGTTTTCTGTGGCCTAGGTTACAACATAGTTAAAGGTTAAAGAGACATCTCAAAACTTAACTGTGGGTTTAAAAATTAAATAGCCTACAGCTTTATTAATTGATTAATTATATTCTCGTTTTATTTTACCACACACATTATATTGCTATAAATACTATTATGATTACATTACAAGGCTTGGATTAAAACATAATAAGGGTTCCAATCACCACTAAATTTAAAAAGAGTGAAAAATTAAATACTTGGGTTTAATTCTTTAAAACCAACCAGAGTATTATATTTAGTTTATACATTTTAAATTACATTTACCAATCAATCTCGATGGTTGAATTATTTTTATTTTCATCTTTGCCATTTTAAGAGCCTTATTAATTTAGTTTCAATATAGATATATTATGAATTAACAAAAAAATATACTTGGATGCACCAATTGGTACACATTGGAGAGATTTAACTACAGTATAAATTAGAATAATCCATAATCAAAAATTTCTCCATGAAATCCATTGCTTAATTTAAATTAAACAGTTACTTTACACACTACTAACACCTAAGAAACAACTAAGCGTATTCAAAAAGTTTTCAAACAAAATAAAATATTCAAAAAATAGTTAACTCTCCAGTGCGTAGACACAAAAATTCATGCTTCAATTGGTACAGTTTAAAAACCCCAAAACAATACCACAACTGTAACTTACCGAATTTGTCGGGTAGAACGGTTTTTTCTTGCGTCTCCGCATGTTTCAGTTTGGCCGTGTCAAATCCTTCGACACCCTGAATCAGAGCCTTCTGCGTTTTTTCCGCAGCCACATCTAGACGGAACATGATCAAACTGATAGAGTTTAAACAATAAACATAGACTATTAGAGCTCTAGCCTTGATGTGCTGCAAGTGTTCAGCTCATGCATAATGCATGAAAGCCCACAGTAGTTGCTCAAGACGAATTACAAATTAGATCAAACACAACAAAACACTCTGAGCTGATGAAAATTGAAATGAGTATGAAAGGGATTGATTTATTTTGCATAATGAGCAGTATTTTAAAACTGCAACTTGTAAAACTAAACTAAAAAAAAATGTGAGATAATAGCTGTTCCTGATAATTTGGCTTCAAATAAATGATCCTAACTGATAAACCAGCTGACCTTAGTCAGTAACAAAGCTACACAGATCATCTCACAACATTCTAAACTCATATTTGGGGTGGTGTCCCCATCTCAAATAATTGATAAACTCCTCTAAGAAATGTAACGCAAATGTAAAATGTATGGTATACAAATATGTCGACAAATGTAAACTATCCCTGTAGATTCTAATTGATTTAGTATTTCATCATATTGTTTAGTGGTCCTTCATTTACCCTATTTCTATCTGTGTATGTAAAAAAGTCCTACAAATTACATTGTTTGGTAGAACAAAGGTAAAACTAAGTAAATCCAATTGATTTATTTTTCAAAACAGGCACAATCACAAACCCCTTAGAAACGGGAAAGGTATGCTAAAATCAGTCATGTATAACATGTTGAATATATCAGAACTGTGTTCAGAAAATATTTATTTAGTTAGCATGTTAATTTGATTTCTAATATATAGGCCTAATATAATACATCTATGACTACAAATTTGACCCCAAGCCAGATGCCATTTGTCACAGCGCTATGGGTACATATTTAAACAAAGATAGTCTTTGGACTGCTTGTTCATAAAAAACCAATACTTCTTAAAACAACTTCAAACTAACAAAATGACAACTTCTGTTCTATTTTTCATAAGGGACATATAACAGGAAATAAAGTGACATTCACCATCATAATGTCAGCTATTTCTGGTATGCAAGCTACACAAACAAGATAGGACTACACTAATGTTTCTTGATTAGCTAGAAGTACCTCGGACAGACTGTTTCACATTAGGAAAAACTTTAGTGGAGTATTCTCAAGTAGTTGTTGAATTCAAAATTGTATTATGAGTTATTGTTCTACTCAGCATTTGGTAATCAATTTTTTTATGCTCAAATTTTTATAAAAGGGCAAAAATTCTAGATATACCTTAGTTATAACTACAATTTTTTTTAACTTTAACTTATAAAACTTCATACAAAACCAATTAAGGGTGTAATTCTCATTTTTAAAATCTAAAAAAGTAAAAAAATAATTTCTCAAAATGTTATGGTAAAATAACCCGAGGCTAAAAGTTAAGTCTAACTCGACACCTGGTAACTCGACAGTCAACAGCTACCAGGCACACGCAATAACAAACTTTTTCAGAAGATTTAGTTTCAATTGTTTAATAGTCAAAATTTCTTTGTATACCGGTACTCAATATGTAAAAATACTCAGGTAATAAATTTATATCTAAAAATTAGTCAGCTATGAATTTGTTTATTAAAACAGATTAAAAATGTCAATGTTCTGGATAAATTGATGCCCAAACTCGACAACAAATCCATCAAGTCCACAAATCGTTGAGTGAGGTTCTACTGTAGTTCCAAATGCTCCAAAACTTTATACTTTATTTCAAAATAAATTTTCAAAATCTAAAAAAAGTCAAATCAATTTGAAATAACAAAAATTTGTTCCAAGTCTCTAAAGTTGTAAACGTCATTACAAAATTGTTGACAGAACGCAAAAACAAAAGGAAGTTTCATTTGAAAGCCTCCGACTCAAGACCAGTCAAGCTTGTGGGCGTGAGTCATCAGCGTTCACTCTCTCTATCACTAACCAGTTTGTCTGTCATTTCCGAGGCTACAGCCACACTCTCCAGCTCATCGTTATTTTTATCTTGCTGCATTCCAAGACATTTGGTTTAAGACTACAAAACAAACCGTTTGAACTGAACCCACCACCAAAACAAGATATTTTTAATATGATTAAATTATTCAAACCCACAAGCTCTGACTTTATTGTGTAGTTAAAAAAATATTATTTACAATATAACATTCCACAAAAAAAAACATAAAATTTGTTTACAAACACATGCCCATGCAAACGAAACATGCAAAACGAAGCAATCAAGACATACTACAGCCATACTACAGCCATTTAGAAAGACCATGCAAATATATAGTTCATGAAGTATATAAGATTTCAGGATTGAGCCAAAAAATATTTTTTATCAAGCACTAGATATTTGTTTTTTTGTTCTTGTTAGTGAGAAAGATTTTTTAACGTTTTAACTTGATGGTAGCTATCAAGTTTGACTATGAAAAATTTGTGTTAGCTATTTTGAAAATTTAAAGAATTTTACCTATATGTCTTTTATAAGTTAATCAATGGTATTTATATTCCAGTGAATACATTAAAATGATTTGGATCTTGATAGGTATTCTCGTTTTTCAGGAGAAGGCTGCGTAAAATGCCTCTTGGGCTGTGACAGACAGACAGAAATTGAGATGAGACTTGTTTCGGCTTCTTTAATATATAAAACATAAAAATAACCTTTTTTTTTTAATTTCGAGCAATGTACAGACAAAAATTTTATTTATATTGATGGTATTTATATTAAAAACTATGTAGCCTAGTAAAATTGCATTAAGAATTGAATATGAAATGAGATCTTTCCCTTTTAAACACCTATGGAAATTAATTGGTGTAAATACAAAAAACAAGAGTATTTTCTGTTAGTACTTTATTTTGTCTTCAAGAATTAAAAACAAAACTATGATTATACGTGTATTTTACTTTACCGCTTATTTATGGGAAAATTCAACTGCTGCATACAAATTTGTTGTCACATTAAAATCCAGAAGTGATAGGGAAACAAAGCAAATTAACTAAGCAGCTTGATTAGTAAACACGTGGCTGAAAATATTTATATACCATTGAGGCTGTGGCCAACTAAAACCCAATTTAAACTTGTTAAAGAAATCACATTCATGAAACCCCACTTTAAAATGTGTGAGCTTTCACAACTAAATGTAAAAATCACAATGCAATTTGATAATTAGTGTCTCTATGTGCGTGACAAGATAAAACAATCAAATAAAAGCTAAAATCGTGGTTTAGTGTTAAGTGTTATTGTATGTTAAGGGTATAAGAATATTCCCTGTTTTTGAGGAGGTTTTAAACATTAATTAAAGCATTAATTATTTAAAATTAACTCTGTAAGCTTAGAAGCTTTTTGGTAAATATATTAACTTGGTAGTTTTGCATTAGCAAACATTTCTGTGAGAATTGCCGAAAATGAATCCTTTAGAACTTTACCTTCGGCGTTCGGCAGAATGATTTTCTCGTGTGTATTTGTTCTCTTTAATTTGTCAGCTTTAAAATTCTCTACGCTGTGAATCAACTGGTTATGCTGCTTTTCCTGTTTTACGTCTAAATGTAAAACAAATCACAAATGAAACACAACATGCAAACCATGCAGCGAACTACGTAAACACAACACTATCAACTAGGCTACGTTTACAGTCGCAAACACAGCAATTATATGACTCATAGGTATGTCATGCAAAACTAACTAACTAGGGTAAGCACAAAACTTTGACGATTGTACAAAAACAATATACCTGCGCAGTTGGTTTAGGTACAATTAGTTTAGGTACAAACACTAGTTTACATACACTAGTTTAGGTACAGTGTATGATTTGTTAGTTTTAAAATACCAGTATTAGGGTCACAAAATATTAATTTAATTAGTTTATATTTATATTTTATTATTTTCAATAAAAGTATATAAACACAATAAGGATAGAAGGAATCCAAAATTTAGTTGTTTTTTACAATGTAGCTAGGTAAATTAATTTTTAACACGCTAATGGTTAAACTATTTTTCAGTCTTAACCCAAGTGACTAGCTATTTTAATTCCAATCCCATAATTCTAAAAATGAAGATATTCCAAACTACACCACACCCTAAAATATTATAAAAGATATCAAGATATAAAAGATATGGGCACTGTTACATTTGTAGTAAGGTAACGTTTTAAATTTAATTTGATAATAGTGACAAACAAAGACCATGAACATAGTTATTTTATAAAGAACTTACGGTCAACAATGAAAACAAATCCATGATAATCATGATTTCACATTCATTTCATGGGGGATCAAGTATTTCAAAATCAAAACTCATGCAAATACACAAAGCACTACAGTGAACAAAATTTACACCAATAATAATTTACCTTCCGCCGTTGGAAGAACAATTTTTTCATGTGTGTCAGCCTTCTTCATTTTGTCGGTGTTAAACCCCTCCAATTGGTTCTTGAGCTCGTTGGGGAGGTTCTTAGGGCTAGATGGGCTCGTCATTTTTACTGAAAAGAGAAAATTAAATCAATTTTTCACTACTGACTCGATACACCTTAGTCTCCAAAGATGAATGGTATTATGAACAATGTTTTCAGATCAGTGGTCATGGAAACTTTATTCCGCCTGCCTAATAACCTCTTAGGAACACAAGGGAATTATCACTGGAATGATAAGGCATGACTTGGCTTATGAATCACACCAGTAAGTCATCAGGCTTTGTATTGGCATTAAAATTGTTAAAAGCTTTCAAACACTCAAACGACCATTGAATTTACTGTACATGATACCATGGATTTTTGATTACTAGCAGCATGCTACATATTATAGTATGGTCAGTTGCTGCACAACAAAGGATTAACATAAGTCTCAAAAACACAAATCGTTGCCAAAAATGTACATTTAATTCTATTTGTTAATGTGATGTATTCAGCCGGTTTAATGTGTGTAAATGAACATAGTAAATTCATACCATATCAAATTTTATCTGAAAAGTACTACAGAAACAAAGTATTTAAACAAGTTTTCTGTTGAAATGTTTTTTCTGACAAATGGCTGGAAAAATGAGAAGTAGACAGTGTTAGTCAAGCCATTAGTAAACTGTCCACTGTCAGGAGTTGTGCAAAGTCATATGTGCAAGGAATGCGTAAAAACCGGGTCACTGAAAAGTTGATGGAAAAGAATTCCTATTAGGATGTACAATTGCAGACTTAGTAAAGAGTTTAATGAACTAGATTTTAAATTGTGTAGCAGATTTATGTGAAAACTGGTTTATATCAATCACAGTTCTTAAGTTGCAGGAGGATACATATTATTAATAAATGAATACATATTCAAAACCACTTGATGAAAACAAGCAATTTTATAATTATTAGCCTATTCCTTAATCGTTTAGAAAATTTGTAACTAAGTCTTACAAAGTGACATTTTTTTCGCTTTAATCAGTTTGCAAAACAGCTGATTTCTCAATAGCCTAGTTGGCAAAACAAAACAGCTGTTCTCAAAATATTTGCCAATATTTTGCTCACTCCGAATGCTTAAATTTTGGTCAAAATTTAAACCTACCAGCGAAGAAACGACTGTTTATGACAATCACAATGCTACTTTCACAATTTTTTCTTTTGTACACAAGCAGGACTAATTTGATTACAAGCGAGATTGCTACTGGAACTAGCAGTCAATTGACTTGACTATCAATTAATGATGCCATGATAAATGGTCAACGTTATATAGTAAAAACCCTTTTCTAAATGTTAAAAAGTGCCATTGGTTGCGATAACACAAAATAAAAATAACAAAATTGCACAATTTGGAATCCTTTTAAAAAACATGGAAAATGCGCTAAATAACTTTTGACTTGGATTTTTTTTATTAGCTTAACATTTCTCACAAAATCTTAAAACATATTCAGTGCCAACTACTAACATAACTTTTACCAAACAAATGATCAAAAGCATATTACTAGGCCTATAGAAACTAAATCAATTTGAACCAGATATACTTTCACATAAACTCTTCCAGTGTAATATTCATTGTTCACGTAGGAGGATTTACAAATTGAATAAAAAACCCCAATAACAAATCGTAAGTTCACCAGCTAACTTGCAGCATAGTGTGTTATCAAGGTGTACAGGTGTTGAATCTAATCAATGCAAGAGGACATCTTCAGCCAGAGGCAGAACACGATTATGTCAAGGTCATACACTACAGAGCCACACTGTACCATATGGCTTACGTCTTTCACCATTAGGGGACTTCTTACAAACATTCTAGCCACAGCTGCCATCCCTAGGAGAGCTGTCTTTAGACATCTAATTCCATCCAGGGTGAATTCGGTTTCTCAAGTAATTATTCTTTTATAAAATCTCATGTTCAATCCGAATGATATTTGTTCATATTTTGAATTGCTTGGGAATCCCTAGTAAAATATTAAATGGTTCTGACGAGTGACAATTTTGTTTCAGGAAATGCCTAGGGTAGGCCTATTTCACGATTGACTAATAATAGTCTACTACGGAAATCTAAAAGCCAATATTTAGCAATTACGATAACTTGCAGTGTTGAAATTTATTAATCTCAATTGTTGTCACAGTCTTAGACACGTGTGGAAGTTATGTTAGTAGATGTTTGTCACACTGAATATAAAGTGTGGCAAGGCAGATCAATTTTAAATTAATAATGGCTGGTATGCGATAAGCTGATTCAGCTAAGAAACTAATAAATAAGCCGAAACATAAACAAACCTACCTACAAGATTGAACATAACATTTACAAAAATTGCAATTTGGAGCCACAAAACTACCAGACTGGTGTTTTTTTTTTTTTTTACACCAGTAATAGTAAATAAAACCCACAAATGTTTTTTTTCGTATGTGTAAATATGCCACAAACATAATTAGATGGGGTCTGTTGCAATAGTGATTGGCTGCTGAAGATGAGCCGTCATAGCTTGATATTTTATACACAGCTCCTACATTAAATAAACCGTCCTTGACAAGTCGGGCTACTTAAGCAGATTTTCATCCTTTTATTGACAATTATTTAAATTCTATCTCCTCCTTAAGTTTTAAATTTTAATTAGTTCTTTAAAAGATAATTTAATTTATAAAAAAATCCAAATTTTATTTGGTATGGTTAAAAGTTTCTCTATGAGAAAAAACCAAATTTTCAAGCAGCAAAATTTGCAGCTCGATTGAACTGGGTTTAGTGTTTTTATTCCAAACTGAATACAGCTTTAGTATAACAAAAACCCCAGTGTGCAAAAAAAACCTCATAAATATTTGGTAAAAAGCCAACATCTTTCTTCAGAGAAGATGTCACAAATTAATCCCCCTAAACATTGTAACATAAGCTTATTCATACCACAGTGACAAATGTTTTTAAATGCCTCGTTTTAGATTACCACCCGACAGTTTATTTCAATCCAAGTTTACTACCATTTCTGATGAATGCTATTCCATAAATATTAGTAAAGACTTCAAATTTGTTCCTACGTTTCTGGGGCTCAGTTTTCTTTTGAGTTTTTATTCATTGGAATTGATTAAGATTATTTGTGATCAAACATAGTAGTAAACAATCTTCTAACTTATTGAGACTGACAGCCCAGTGATTAAATTCATTAATCAATCTCGGTAGCATGTGGTACAGTATTACCCATGTAAAAACAAATCAAATAATCTGTTATTTGACTTTCACATTTACAATTAACTTTGAAAAGGATTTGAATGTGTGAGGACAATCCAGAAAGGCTGTTTTTTGGGTAGTCCTACCATATAATTCTTTCCTTGAAATGTATGTCCAACTCACTAATTGCCCTGGATACAATCATTGATGGAAGTACTAAATAAGAACAAGCTAAAGCCATACCCATCTTAGTTGCAGTTTTGAGAAACTCTAGATGTCCAAAGATAACGAAAATCCAAATGAATATGTTTATATGAAACAACACGTTTGGCCTCCTATATCTTAATCAAGAATTTATTACAACAAATCACAAAATGTTGAGATTTTGTACAGTTGACGTCAACAAATGAATCAGCTCAACAGTCTCCATGCTCCACAACAGTATAGATAAGATCGTAGCTTTCTGCAGTCCAAGTGTTATACTTTTTAAGTGTTGTTATTGCTTAAAAATTCCAGGATGACTAAGAACTAAGTCTACAACTACACTCTTCAACAAGTAGGTTTAGTTCATTCTGATATGAAGACTTGAAAACAATCCTGGAGTATTTAAGATTTGTACTTCATACAACTGGTTGATTAACTTCAATTACTAATCTGGACTACAGAAAGAATACAGAAGACATTTCATAGGCAAACCATACGACTAAATGCATAGATCTCCCCATGCCCATCCAGGAAACAGCCATGGTAGCATGTGGTATTTCTGGTCAGATCCTGGTTAAAAGTATCTAACAAAACCTGCTCAGTAATCATCATAGCGGATCTAATCTACTACATAGATCAAAAGAGCTGTACAATTGTTTACAAGAACCTTTCATTTGTACGTTATAACTTTGTTCCTGGAAGCAGTTTGTAAAAGAGGAACACAGGTAACTTATTATCATTAATTATTTTAATAGCCATTATTTTAATAATTATTGTAATGACTTTTCCAATACAATGTATTATTTGTTATTTTGGAATAAAGAACTTAGGCTATCACTTATGACTTAATAGTACAATATGTAATTATCAGCGTAAAGCAACTTACAGTAATACAAACAGGGTTCGGACCGTTTCTTGCAAAACATAAAAGATAAAAGTCATTGCCATCAAAATATAAGTTAAGTTAGTTGGAGGGTTTATTTATATTAATAAGTCTCTCTGCAGAAAATTAGTTTAAGACAAGAAAGTATAGATCACTCAGAAAAGTGACAGTGTTCAAGCTTCATAAAATCATCATTAACAAACCTATCCATGACATCATCGACTGAAAAAATTAATCTAGCTGTGTATAGGTAATAGGCTAGGCTTATGTCTTTTATGTTTAACTTAAACATATTTTTTATTGAACTGAGGTACCTAACTTATATATTTATGCTAGCAACGTCCAAGTGGGCTATTTATCTTGGCGTCTAAAGTTCGTAACAAATTTAAATTTAAGTTACAATATGTAGGTATGTTCTTAGATGATAAATAGGCCTAGATAATTCCATGGATTAGTTGGATAAGTACCAGCATTGACTATTGGATACAGAAGTAGACATCCCATCTATATGGACCAGCTGTAGCCAATAAAAAAAAGAACTTAGTTGTGTGAGCCAGTCACAGAATGCGCTAGTGTCTAAAATTCTATTTTCTACCTTAATTTACATATTTGACTAAGTTGATGGCTCATAAAAGTTGCTAACTCACAATTAGTCATTCCAGTAGTTTCAATTGGTAAAAAAGTAAAATTAGTAGCTTAGATCAGGACAATCTGTCTGTGGCTCACATCAACTAAGTTACGATAATTTTGAGTAAAAGCTGGCAACAAAATTAACATGGGAATGGAATGTCTAGTTGTATAAATAGTCAAAGATACCGGTTACATTAAGCCTAGGATATATTTTACCGGAGCTTAGATAATATTTTAGAAAAGCACCAAAAAATTCTTGTTTTTAACCCAGGCCTAATTGAATTTTAACAAAGATAATATTTGCTAAGCTCCATTTAACTGAAGTTCCGTTCAATTTGATTTTTTATGTTTAAAGTTTACTTAACCATTTCGTAAGGGGTAGGTATCGTACAAATTCCACCTACTTCCTAAAAATTGGGTAGCCTAGGACTAACTTGGGCCTATCATAGACAAGAAAGTCCTAGTTCTAATGCTAGGTTAATTGTTAATTTATTATTTTAATTTTTAATGCAGTTTGGTAACCATATTCAACTCTGGAATTAATAATTTTTTTATAAAAGTCAAAAAGAAACTATAGCTTACGTTAAAAGTCTAAACTTTCTTTGGTTTTATTTACACGCCGGCTTATAATTTGACAAGCTAAAGTGACACAACGCCGATCTGTCAATGTACGTTGCAACAGGAACAGGGTAAAACAAGGAATCATGAATGAAACTTGTTGGATTAAAACCATTAAACATAACTAAAACTAACACTTTTCTTCGTTAAATGAAATATCATTGAAGATTACCATTTAATGAGTAATGATAAAAAGCTTGGCGTAACTTACCGGTAACAATTTTAAGTTTATCCTTCAAAGAAGTTAACACTCCGGCCACACCTACACCAGACTGAATCGGAGCGGCTCCGGCTGAAAAGCTGGCGACGAATACCGCTAGTGCGCATGCGCAGAATGAGTCATGGTCGTCATACCAACCAACAGCTGTGACTATCAGGACTGCCCTATGTGGATGTCTGCGTACAAGCTTTTCCCTTTCATAGACAAGTGCTTCGTTATTATTCTCAAGGATTTAATAAATTGTCTCTGCAGTTAAGGACTTGTCTGCGAATAATTGATCAATATTTTCAGTTTGTGTTGAGTTTATGCGGGCAATTCGATGTTTATTTTCGAGTTATAACGTTTTAGGAAATTGATGGGTTTTCCTTGTTCTCCTTGAGCCCACATATGTGTCAGCTGTCGCACCAAGGGTCAATGATCCCTGGAATTATTTTGGGACAGCAACCGTACAAACTATAGAAAAAATATAAGTGCGCTAATAGCCGTGAGTAGATACGGTAGTTGGGAAACTTGTGGCTGATGTTGCTGGGATTTAATCAATCTGTGCTCATCGACCACAAATTAAATTGTGACGCAACTCACAACAGAAGAGTGATATGTTGCAAATCACTACAGGAATAGTGAAATTGCATGTACCTCAACAAATGGCATTGTGGCAAAAACGCCAAAAACAGCTGAAAAATATGTAATTCATTCGGACAATGCTACGAAAAAAAGGATTTAACAAAAATAATTCAGTGGTCACGTAGCCTAAGCTTAACGGATAAAAATGCGATCACAGGATTTAATCGCATATCACATTTTTGTAATCCTGTTAATACATGTCGTCTAAGGCTGCGATCAGAGGAAATATTCCAGACAATGCTTTGATCACGGAGAGCTAATAACAGATAAGGCTGCGATCACGGTAACTTAATCAAAGGTAAATGCTTCGATAGTGAGAGTTAATCACAGAGAATGATGCGGTTTTTGCGGTCATTGGAATTATCCACAGAGGTCATATTGCGACCACGAGCGACCATTTTAATACAGATCACGGGACTCAATCACAGAATACAGATAATGCTGCGATGTCTTGATAATATCAGGGGTAATAGCTGATAATGCTAATGATGCGATCACAGTATTTAGTCACATGTAATGCTGCGATAACGGGAATACAGATAAAGTGCGGTAAGAGGATTCAACGACGAATATTGTCCAATCATGTGATTTAATTACATTTAATGCTGCGATCGAGTTAATGAGATTCGGAGCAATAAGACCCCTGTCTAACTTCAGATGTAAATCACTGAGAGAGCAAGTCTATAAGTATGTCAGCAGCCGTAGTCTACTGGACCTACTTTTACTGTCCCTATTCGATCAATAGTGGAGTAGTGTAGTGGTGATTCACCCTATGCCGCTAGCCGCTATGTTGTCTCAATCAATCATGAGAAATCCGAGTCTAGTTTCCGGCAAAGAGCTATATTTGCTATTGAAATTGCCAAAATACTTTAAGAACAACTTACGAACTGAAACTGCATCTTGAAATATTCGTGTTATTAAGTAAAAAAAGTCGTAATGCTTCAAATATGTTGTGCTCTGCAAAATTTACCTCTCAAACTTGAACGTAAATTGATGGATCATAATTTAAGTTTGGGCACTATGAAAAGTTGTTTCGTTGTACAATTTTATTTAATCGATTCGTTAGTAACTCGACTTAATAGACTCGGATCATGTATTTAGTGTATAATTAATTGTTTTGGATATCAGTAACATTAGGGAAGTTTCGTATTGTCGTATTAAGTTCACAACCATAGTTTTAATAATTTAATATTTTTTTATAAAATGATTTTGAACCTAGGTGTACAGTATTTTTAGAAAGTAGTTTGAGCAAATGCTATGTTTCTAATCGTAAACTTAATAGTAGTTTGAATAAGGAATTTTCACGATATAGGTTAACGAAGTTAGGAGCATTATGAAAAATACTCGGAAGTGTGACTTATCACGGCACGTGAGCGGCAAACTTGGCTGTTGGAAGAGGAAATGTGTTTAGGACGTGCCAGGCACCGTCAATGGTCTTACTGAGACTCACAGAGGAAATGCAAGAAAAGGAAGGGGATACTGGCTATAGTCTGTATGACGGAACCTGTCTCCCAACCTTCTATCTGGGGTCAATGGTTTAGGACGTTCCAGGCACTGTCAATGTCCTTAGACTCACTGGGGGAATGCAAGAAAGGAAGGGGATACTGGCCATAGTCTGTATGATGGAACCTGTCTCCCAACCTCCTGTCTATCTGGGGTCAATGGTTTAGGACGTGCCAGGCACCGTCAATGTCCTTACTCAGACTCGCAGAGGATATGCAAGAAGGAAGGGGATACTGAATATAGTCTGTATGATGGAACCTGTATCCCAACCTCATATATTCATCTTCCTGTTCAAGAATGGGTCAATTCTTCTAGCCTTCTGGGACCAGTCGTCCCAGGTTCAGGTAGGAGGAGGGATGCTCAGGAGACAGTTTCCACCATACAGACTATAGCACAAGAGATTAACCTCCTGAATGGATTATGTATTGCGGTCATTGGTTTAAAAAAACGCAAATAGTCGAAGTAGCTTTGATCTTGTAGACATTTGAGGAGGCAGTTGAGGCAGAAGATGTCAATCCTTATCAAAGGAGGTCGGAACCTTGTATTCTTGTGACTTTAACTATAAAATCACCCAAAGGGGAAAAAGAATTTTGACTTTGACGAATACTGGAGTCGGGCGAATTTAAGAAATGGTGTAGGAAGGAATTACTGACTTATACAGGTACAAACCTCCCGGAAAAAATCAAGGGCTTACTCCAAAAATTCTCTAGAAAATGAAATGGAATGAGGAGAGGGCACTCACTAGTAGAAATGCATGAAGATGAGGTAAAACCGTAGAACCTCAATAAAGGAAGGGTTTTATAGTTCTGTAAAGGTTTTACACCATGTCTTTGGAGTCCAGGAAATTGAAGTAGAAGAGATTATTATTGCTAAAATATTGCAGTTTTACAATTGTAAATCTCCCGATAGGAGGAGATCTTTTTCGATGATTTGCAAGTTTATGAATTTGTATTTTCTTTGGGAACAATCTGTCACAGAATTGGTGACCTAAAGCGGTGTAGGTGTACCAGTACCCCTGGCTACGTATTATTTTCTCCAGTTTGCCCTATATTCATGCCCTGACCCTTCCAAGTGCCCTCCACTCCCAGAGGTCCTTATCTCTGTGTGGGAGTGGTTCTTATCAGCTGTCACTCAGTGTTATCAGCCGCTACCCGACTACACGCTTAACTGCCACTGAAGTTCACCTACCACTGTGTTTGTGAACTTGTTAAATGTTTGGAAGTGTTCCAAAAAGAAGAAATTCCTGATATGTTTTATATGTTGATGGTTTGAGTAATACTTGAAGGATTAAACAAGGGAATGAGTATTATTCCCTTGTCTGGTAATAACTCAAAGTTGCGAAGCTTTAGACAGAAATAGGGAAAGTTCCGACCCTACACATTTGGAACTCTACCCTTACGTAATCACAGATTTCCGGCTTGAACTTCACCAACTTGATTATTTTAAAATATAGACATGTTAAAAATAAAAGAATTACTCTAAATCTGAAATGCATGTTCCATGTTCAGTAGAGAAAATTACAGCTAAAACATGCGTCAACGGATGACTTAATAGTATATTTCGTACCTAGGGCCGAAAATGAGGTTTTGCCGGCTCGAGATAGTTTTTAAGTTCGAGACGAAGTCGAGAACTTAAATCGATCGAGAGCTGCAAAACCATTTCGGTCCGTGGTGCGAACGCTATTTTTCACCACACTACCTAATTCACCACTATAATAATGCACACTGATAATCAACACAACTACAACTTTAAGGTTATGTGAAGAAATAATTTGAGGAATTAGCAAAAATAAAAATAAATAGTTGCTAGGCAACGGTAAAAGTAACACAATTCTATTAATTGCAATGCTATGGATTTTGATTGTGTAAAATGCATTCATGTTTTAAGTAAGTAAGCGGACAGCTGATTTTGCGGCCCCGGCCTGTAAAAACCTGCTCGGTCCCCAAATTACGATGACAGCTGGCATGGCCAGCAAAACGTAACTTTCAGCCACCAATTAACGTATGTAATACAGCCAAAAACATCATAGTGTGGTGAAATAGCTATTTACATTACAAGTGTAGTAAGAGCGTTTTTACATCACGCAGGTGAATGTTGTGCAACGAGCGGAAGCGAGTTGCATAATTTACCTAAGTGATGTAAACACGCTCTTGCGTAACGTGTAACGTACAAGATTTTACCTGACCCGACCATATTTTTCATTATCCATTTCACTGATCTTCTATCAGTAACGTTCTTTTAGTAACAAAATTGCAAAAGCTAGGTTAGGAAAATACTTTAAGCATAACAATAACATTCAAGTGCACAGCTGATTTCTAGCGTTAACGTCGTTGGCTCCATAGAGTAATATTTTTTAAGTTAAGCACTCAATGTTATTTAAATGGGTTTCTTTACATCACCGAGTGAGTTTTTGATACTTTACATCACTCGAGAAGTAAGGAAGTTGTATACATCACGCTTGGGATAGGGAAGTTTAACATGGTGGGTTAGGTAAAATAATAAAACAATTTACAATCATTTATAAGTTTAAGGCAAATCATTGATCGAGATTTTAACAATTTCCTTTGGATATTGCAAGTAAACATCTCATAATCTTGTTATTCAATCTAAAGTTTTTTTAATGTGTGCCCGTTAAAATTTGAGTTCGTTAAAGTCGACTAAATCCGACAATCTAATCGTTTTATAATCATGCCACAAACTTTAGAATAAACTTATTTATTCTCTATCATTCTATGTGGTCGTTTTTCAATCATAAAATTGCCTGCGTATAAAGACAGGTCGACACACCCAACAAAGCTTTACTGGATATAGAATACAAATAAAAGATATCTTCAGATATTACAGGATGAAAAGTCTACTTGCAGTAATCTTAAGTAAATTTACACAACACTACTTTTATAACAAATTGATGCTTAAATTTCCATATTAAATCGAACTAGTGAATTAAAAATTCCTATTCACATGCTCTTCGTTCGCAAATCGTTAGCAGATATGTA